AGGCGCATGCCACCATGCCTGGATAATATCTTTGTATTTTAGTAGAGACTAGGTTTCACCGTGTTGCCCAGGTTGGTCTCGAACTCCTGAGCTCTGGCAAGCCAACTTAGCCTCCCAAAATGCTGGGATTACAGGTGTGAGCCACCTCACCCGGCCCAGTGTGTCTCCCTTTAACCCAGTAGGGCCCTCGTGTGTCCCAGAGGGGCAGTGGGTCATCACCAGCCGGTCAGGGCAAGGCCTGTTCTGCCACATCTGCCACCCTCTGAGCCCACCAGTCCTGGGCACAGCTGCCCCACACGTCTGTCCCAAGATGGACATCAGGTCCAGCCTGCCCTAGTGGCCCAGGCCAGTCCTCCTCAGCACTCAGGCCAACCCCAGCCACCACCAGCCTGAGACAAGGTGTCCTCAGGCTCCCCTCACTGCCACAGCCCAGGTGCAACTCTCCTGGCCCAGCCGGGCTGCCTGGACACTTGCCATTGTCACCAGCAGTCTCGAAACTGGACAGTGCACAAGGGCCCAGAAAAACTCTGATGTCCCCAAAACAAGCATGTTCACTAGCGGGTTCCATCTGTTTGGGTTAAAGCTGCCTCCAACCTCAGGAGGAAGGCAAGGGCCAGGAAAGGAAACCTCAGTCTCCATCCTTGTGAATGTCCTCGTCTGTTTCAAATGCAGTCAGTTTTATATAATGTGCAATAAATCCAAGTGGCTTTATTAAAACCTCCTGGAAGATCACGAGGGAAACAGGCAGGAGCTGGAGACACCGCGGCCCCTCGGCCCCCGCCCTGCACCTGCAGAAGCCCCTACCTTGCACCTGCTCTTTGCCTCGGGGTGACCTGGGCCTGCTGTCTCCTCATTTCAGTTCCTAGACCAGAGATGTGTCCATACATCTGCATCCAATTGAGCCCTGGCTGGGTGCCAAGCTCCAGCCCCTGCTCCTCAAAGTGGGGTGCAAGCATCTCCAGCAGCTGCCTCAACAGGGGGTTGTTACTAAGCAGATTCAGATCCCTGCCGCGCCCACCCCACCCACCCCATAACTCACCGAGTCAGCATCTGCCTTTACCGGTTCGTCCCGTCCAGTGGAGGAGGCAGACACTGGCCTATCCCCACCTGGTGGGGGGTCAGGCTCCCGTGGCCTGAAGGGCCGTGTCCGGACAGCCTCTCAGAAGAGAGGTTTGTGAGCTGTGTCTTCTGGGCAAACAGCATTTAGGGAGTGAAATGTGGTTTCAGGCTCTCATGCTGTGTCCTGGCACGTGACCTGGTGGAGAGGCCCAGGCCTCGAAGCTTAGAGAGCCCAGGGCAGACAATTTGAGGGCCTGAGATCAGCTGTGATCAATCTGAGGCTGGCCTGTGGCCTGTTTTGGAAGGCATCCTGCACTGCTGCCTCGGTGGGCTGACCCCCTCCCCGGTGTTCGGGAAGTGACAGGGAGTGGGGAAGGTCTGGCCTCACAGGGTTTGTGGTTTGGATACATTCGCTGTGTCCCATGACTTAAGACTTCAGAACTTCAGGGCTGGTAAAGACTGGCTGGGGGAGGAGTTCCAAGTAGCTAACAAGTTGGGCTAGGAGCCTTGAATGCGGTGTGAGCCCAGGGCTGGTGGGGGCATGGCCTGGGGACTGGATCCAAGCCTCACCGTGACCCTGGATCCAGCTGGGCCTGCTGGATGCTCCCTGGGCGGACAGGGGCCAGCGCTGTGCAGAGACTGTGCAGTGCCACCGGCCAGGGGACCAGGTTCTGGCCTTGAACCTGTACAATGCAGCATTTCCTTGTCCTGAAACCAGCTGGGAAGCAGCTGATTCCTGCAGAGGGAAAGGGGTTGAAGGAGCCACCGTGGGAACCTACAGAGGCATGGTGGCATCCGGGAGTAGACGGCCCTGCCACAGAGATAAGGCTGACCTAGGCAGCACAAAACTCGGTCCAGCTGACAGACGGAAAAGGAAAACGCCTTCTCACAGCACCTGCAGTGAAGCTGGCAGGCAGTGGGGCCTCCTCGTGGACAAGGCGGGAGGGAGTCCCTTCCAGGAGTGACTGAGAAGGAAGCTGGCAGGCAGGGCACAGTGGCTCCCACATGTAATCCCAGTGCTTTGGGAGGTCAAAGCGGGAGGATCACTTGAGCCCAGGAGCTTGAGACCAGCCTGAGCAACACAGTGAGACCAAGTCTCTATTTGGTAAACGACATTTAAAAAGAAAATTTCTAAAGGGGGGCGGGGAAAAAGGCTGGCAGCAGAACTCTCATCTGGTAACCCAACTAGATCAGAAAACGGTGGGGGGATGTCCATGCCTCGCTGTGATGTGACTGGGCCTCCAGGCCTGCCTCACTTTTGGTGGCCCCAACTTGGCATGGCTTGGGCATGGCCCCTCAAGGCAGTCACAGGGGAGCTACAGCCCAGTCTGGGCCCAGGCGGGGGGGCTCACAGACAAAGAGCCTGCAGGTGGGGCCTTGAGCTGTTGCTGAGTTAGGAAGTTGCTGCCTGCCCGACTGACCCCAGCTCTGGGTGGACAGAGAGCCCCTGAGTGAGAATAGCTAGGAAGTCCCCATCACACCCCTTGCCCAGGAGCCAGGAGGACGGCCCACCTGGTTCTCAGCAGAGCCAGCAGAGTAGGGAACAGGACCAGCCTTGCGTGGACTGATGGACTCCCCTCCTGTGAGAGGGAGGAACGTGGGCTGGGCCAGGATGGGCTGCTCCCTGAGATGCCATGGAGGAGGCTGTGTCCTCTCAGGCTCTGCATCCATCCCCCGTGAGCCATGAAAGGAGGCAGAGCGAGCTTCTGGCCCCTCTCATGTGAAAGATACCCACCCGGCCCCTGCGGTTTCCAACATCCTGTGAGCAGCCTGGTTTCAGGCGCCTTTGCTGCTCCCCACAGCTGAGGCTGCAGCCACTGGGTCTGCACCCTGCTTGCCTGGAGCCTCAGGCAGCCTTCTTGAGGGCCATCGTGTCCTCCTAGCATCCAGCAGCTTCCTGGGTGCTCAGAAAGCATTGCTGGGAGAGAGGGAGGAAGGGAGGGAGGGAGGGATGAAAGGAGGGAAAAGGTAAGAAGGCAGGCAGGCCGGGGAATGTGCAGGAGCACCTCTGATCTGCGGCCTCAGCTCTCTCACTCCATCACCCACACAGGCTCTCAGGAACCAGCTAACCCTCCCACCTCCCCAGTCCACAAGCTGCTCTATGGGCCCAGACCCACTACTCTCCTGCTCTACAACCATCACTGGCTCCCATTTGCTTACCGAGGAAAATTCAGACCCCAAGACCCTTGTCCCTTGGCTCCCACCTTATCACCTGCTTCCCTCAGTGGCCCCATGTTAAGTTGCTTGCTCCCTGTCCCCGGCAGATGTCCCATACTTCTCCTTTATTGTAATTTTTCTCATGTGGCCTGCTCTGGGCCATGTTCAGGGGGAACCTCAGTCAGGGGAGGCCACCCGCTGAGGTTCCCCTCCAGGGGCCAAGTATGATCCCGGCCGTGGACGGCTACATTCTGTTGTTTCCTCTTAGGGTACAGGTGGCCTGCCTCTGGGGAGCTCTTGGCTCACAGGAAGATGTTATGGGGCACAGCTGGGTCAGAGGTGCCTACTTTGTGACAGAGAAAAGGAAAGCAAGAGATGTTCGAAGAGGAAGCACAGTGGCTCACGCCTGTGATCCCCTTGTTTTGGGAGGCCAAGGCAGGAGGATCACTTGATCCCCAGGAGAGGTGGAGGCTGCAGCGAGCCAAGATCACACCACCACACTCAAGTCTGGGCAACAGAGCAAGATCCTGTCTCAAAAAATAAATAGGTTGGGCAAGGTGGCTCATGTAATATCCACACTTTGGGAGGGCAAGGTGAGTGGATCACCTGAGATCAGGAGTTCAAGACCAGCCTGGCCAACATGGTGAAGCCACGTCTCTACTAAAAATACAAAAAATTAGGCTGGGCGTGGTGGCTCAAGCCTGTAATCCCAGCACTTTGGGAGGCCGAGGCGGGTGGATCACCAGGTCAAGAGATCGAGACCATCCTGGTCAACATGGTGAAACCCCGTCTCTACTAAAGATACAAAAAAAAAATTAGCTGGGCATGGTGGCGCGTGCCTGTAATCCCAGCTACTCAGGAGGCTGAGGCAGGAGAATTGCCTGAACCCAGGAGGCGGAGGTTGCAGTGAGCCGAGATCGCGCCATTGCACTCCAGCCTGGGTAACAAGAGTGAAACTCCGTCTCAAAAAAACAAAACAAAACAAAATACAAAAATTAGCTGGGCATGGTGGGGTGGGCCGGTAATCCCAGCTACTTGGGAGGCTGAGGCAGGAGAATCTCTTGAACCGGGAAGGGGAGGTTGCAGTGAGCTGAGATTGCACCACTGCACTCCAGCCTGGGCAACAGAGCAAGACTCAGTCATAAATAAATAAATTAATAAATGAACGAACAAATAAATAGAAGGGGTGGCCTGGTGGTGGGAGGGTGCAGTCCAGTCCTGCTGGGATCACGGTCTAGTTGCGTGACCTCGGCTGCTCTCTCGGTTTCTTGGTTACCCGCCTGAAAACAAGCATCTATCGATGGCGAGGCAGCTTCCTTTTTGGCGGGATGGAGGTGATGTGGCAACAGTCTTGGCGCTGGCCACTTTATCCTGAGCATGGCACCTGCAGGGACACTTGGTAGCAGAGTCACGACCCCCAGCATCGCCCCTGCACTTGACTTACGTGGGGGCGGCGACCAAGCCAGGGAGCCCTGGCTCCTCGATGTGTCTGCGAGGCTGTTGGCTGTTGAAATCAGACAGGAAGGAAGGCTGAGGTGGAGCCCAGCACAGGAAGAGGTGAGGACCCGCAGGGGCAGCCGGTGGGCCCGGCTGGGACGGCAAAGAAGGTCGGGGCTGCACTGTTCTTGGCCCCTGCATAGCAGGTCGGTTGGTTAGTTGGCGTGGGAAGCGCCCTGACCCCTAGTCCTGAGGACTCGGGCTGGCACAGGGATTCCCAGGACATCCACCGCCGCCCAGCTGGAGCAGGGCTGAGCCCATGAGCACAGAGATGGAGCCCCCAGGCCCCCCAGTCTTGGTGTCCCTGGAGCAGCATTGAGGCCCGGGAGGTAAGCTGGGTCCAAGTGCCCTCAGTGCAGAGCAGGGGAGGGAGAAGGGATGCTGGCAGAAAGAACAGTGGCCTTAAGGCCTGAGCCACTCTGGGAGGGGGACTGGAGAGACCCCCACGAGACTCCAAGAAGGTGCCTCCTGGGGCAGGGCTGGCTCACGCTGTAGAAAAAACAGATGTGGCAGGGCTCCATGTTAATCCCAGCACTTTGGGAGGCCGAGGTGGACAGATCAGTTGTCAGCAATTCGAGACCAGACTGGCCAACATGGTGAAACTCTGTCTCTACTAAAAAAAAAATAGCCTGGCATGGTAGCAGACAGCTGTAATCCCAGCTACTTGGAGGCTGAGGCAGGAGAATCACTTGAACCTGAGAGGTGGAGCTTGCAGTGAGCTGAGATCGCGCCACTGCACTCCAGGCTGGGTGACAGAGCGAGACTCCATCTCAAAAAGAAAAAAAAAAAAAGAAAAAACAGATGTGACCTGGGCACGTTTCCTGGCACTGGGACCTGCCCCCCCCCCCACCACCATGGGAGGCTACTTCTCTGGGCTTCAGTTCCCTACCTGTAGATGAAGGTGACAACACAGGACTTGCCCCAAAGATTATGAGGGACAGGGAGGGTACAGGCACCGCCCCCAGGTCAGTGGGCAGCCCCAGGGCCTCTCCCGGCCACAGCCTCAGGTGAGATAAGGCTCAAGAGAGAGGGCAACCACAGAGGCCTTCTTGGAAGAGGCATCACTGCCATGGGTCGGCCGCAAGGTTCTCCCCTATGGCCAGGCTCCAGGGGCCCTGGTGTCCTTTCTGGTCCCCTCCCTGGAGGTGCTCCTCAGCCTGGGGCTCACTGGCTGCAGGTTGTAACCCCCCTTCTGTCCCAGGGTGCTGGGCTCCCCAGGGCTGGGCTTGTCCACCCCTTGGACTCCAGGGGTCCACACAGTAGAGCAGGGTGGGGCCCCAAGTTGCAGCCACCACTTCCTTCTTCCTTCCGGAAGCCTTTTGAGATTAGGTGATCATGCTGGGGCCACCTCGAGAGGACCAAGTCCTGAATTCTGAGGTCCTGAAAGGGGGCAGGGGCAGGGTGTAGGGAGAGAGAAGCATCCAAGCAGCCGTGGTGGGAGATGCAGGCAGCCAGCACTGGGAGGCCCCACATGGGTGCCAAATGGCAGTGAAGGGCCCATCAGGGCCCACGAGGACTGAGGCCCCGGCGGGGAGCAATCCTATCACCTCAGTCTCCCAAGTACCTGGAACTACAGGTACACGCCACCACACCCAGCTAATTTTTGTATTTTTTTGTAGAGACGGGGTCTCCCTATGTTACCCAGGCTGGTCTCAAACTCGGGCTCAAGTGATCCTCCCTCCTCAGCCTCCCAAAGTGCTGGATTAAAGGCAGGAGCCACCACATCCAGCCTTGCATCTTGGTATTTTTCCACATAAAAAATACATCGTAGATACTGTGTGATTCTTTTTACATGAGATTCTAGAAAAGGCAAAACTGATTTACAGTGAAAAGAGTAGAGCAATGGCCTAGGGCCAGAGGGGTGTGGTCAGGACAGACTGTAAGGGGCAGAAGGGAACATGTTATTGGAGAAAGAGACGTTGAATATTTTGATTTTGATAGTTATACAGGTATATACATTTGTCAAAAATCATCTAACCGTACAGTGAAAGAGTACATTTGATTGTATATAAATCATGCCTCAGTGAAAGTAATTAAAACCTTTATAATATTAAGACAAAAATACACTGGAGACATCTTTCCAGTGACACGTAATTAGAACTTACTGGTTTTTTTTTTTGGAGACAGGGTCTCACTCTATTGCCTAGGCTGGAGTGCAGTGGTGTGATCTTGGCTCACTCCAACCCCCACCTCCTGGGCTGAAGAGATTCTTGTGCCTCAGCCTCCCAAGTAGCTGCGACTACAGGCGTGCCAGCTAATTTTTTGTATTTTTAGTAGAGACAGGGTTTCGCCATGTTGCCCAGGCTGGTCTTGAACGCCTGAGCTCAGGCAACCTGCATACCATGGCCTCCCAAAGCACTAGGATTACAGGCGTGAGTCACCATGCCTGGCCGGTTTTTAAAAAATGATTACGGCCGGGCGCGGTGGCTCAAGCCTGTAATCCCAGCAGTTTGGGAGGCCGAGGTGGGTGGATCACGAGGTCAAGAGATCGAGACCATCCTGGTCAACATGGTGAAACCCCATCTCTACTAAAAACACAAAAAATTAGCTGGGCACGGTGGCATGTGCCTGTAATCCCATCTACTCGGGAGGCTGAGGCAGGAGAATTGCCTGAACCCAGGAGGCGGAGGTTGCGGTGAGCCAAGATCGTGCCATTGCACTCCAGCCTGGGTAACAAGAGCGAAACTCCGACTCAAAAAAAAAAAGATTCCCATTACAGGGCAGGCACAGTGGCTCATGCCTATAATTCCAGCACTTTGGGAGGTCAAGATGAGAAATTACTGACCCCAGAAGTTGGAGACCAGCCTAGGCAACAATGGCAAGACCCTGTCTCTACAAAAATTAGCTGGGTGTGGTAGCATGCACCAACCAGTAGTCCCAGCTAGTTCTAGCTACTTGGGAGGATCACTTTGGCCCAGGGAGGTTGAGGCTGCAGTGAACCATGATTGTGCCACTGCGCTCCAGCCTGGGTGACAGAGTGAATCCCTGTTTAAAAAAAAAAAAAGATTCCCACTACCTCCTCATTCTCACCCATGCAGTCTGTTATATTCAGCCACGAGACATGAAAAATGATAGCTTATTCTTTTTTTTCTTGATCCTTACTGACACTGGGCATCTTTCCAATACCTTGGTCATTTATACTTCTGTGAGGATCTGTGTCCTTTCTGCTATTTCATTTGGGGTTCATAATTCTATTTGGTTACTTATTGATTTCTAACAGTTCTTTATGGATTAAGGATAGTCATACTTTTTCATACGTTGGCTCCTGGCTTATGGTTTTTACTTCAACTTTATGGCATCCATTATTACTTATAAATATTTAAATTATTTAATAGCAAACTAAATATTTATTATTTTATTTCAATTAAGGCAAATTTACTGGTCTCCACTTTTATGAATTCTGCTTTTTTTTTTTTTTTTTTTTTAAGCCAAGGTCTTGCTCTGTCACTCAAGCTGGAGTGCAGTGGCACAATCATAGCTCACTGCAGCCTCAGCCTCCTGGACTCAAGGGGTCCTCCTACCTCAGCCTCCCCATAGCTAGGGCACAGGTGCCTACCGCCAGCCAAACTATTTGTTTTTCTGTAGAGAGAGTGTGTCACTATATTGCCCAGGCTGAGAGTTCTGGCTTCTACGTACCACTGTAAAAAGGCTTCTGTACCCAAATAATATTTCTAAATATTCTCTCCTATTTTCTTATTGTGCTTTTATGGTTTTGTGTTTACAATTTTAACTCCTTAGTCCACCTGAAAATAAATGTTCTGTTTGATGTGAAGTACAGCTGGAAAATATCTTTCATAGGCTGATAAAAAGAGTTTTAATTTTCAGAAATGAAGAAATAAAAACTATTCTTGCTGAAATAACTTGTTTTTGTGTTTTTTGTTTGTTTGTTTTTTGAGATGGAGTCTTGCTCTGCCGCCCAGGCTGGAGTGCAGTGGTGTGATCCTGACTCACTGAAACTTCCTCTTAAGCGATTCTCCTGCCTCAACCTCCCCAATAGCTGGGATTACAGGCACACACCACCATACCCAGCTCACTTCTGCAATTTGAGAGATGGGGTTTACTCCTACCTTAAGTGATCCGCCTGCCTTGGCCTCCCAAAGTTCTGGGATTACAGACATGAGCTACTGTGCCCAGCTGTGCTGAAGTAATTTGAAAATCTGAAGAAAATTAACTGGAAAATGAGGAGAACCAACATGAATATTTAATATGTTGATGGGACATGAGATAAACAAAAATCCCAATCATCTTTTATATCAACGATATTCATCATACAACAAAAACCATTTTAGGCTGGGCACAATGGCTCACACCTGTAATCCCAGCACTTTGGGAGGTCAAGAGATCAAGACCATCCTGGCCAACATGGTGAAACCCCATCTCTACTAAAAATACAAAAATTAGCCGGGCGTGGTGGCAAGTGCCTGTAGTTCCAGCTACTCTGGAGGCTGAAGCAGAAGAATCGATTGAACCCAGGAGGCAGAGGTTGCATTGAGTCAAGATTGCACCACTGCACTCCAGTCTGGGTGACAGAGTGAAACTCCTTCTCAAAAAAAGAAAAAAAAAAAAACCCAAAAAACAGATTACTTCAGCAAGAATAATTTTTATCTTTTCACTTCTGAAAACTCTCTCTTTTTTTTGTTTTGTTTTGAGGTGGAGTCTCACTCTGTCACCCAGGCTGGAGTGCAGTGGCATGATCTCACTGTAGCCTCTACCTCCCACATTCAACTGATTCTCCTGCCTCAGCCTCCCCAATAGCTGGGATTACGGTCACGCACCACCATGCATGGCTAATTTTTATATTTTAGTAGAGAGCTGAGATCATGCCACTATACTCCAGCCTGGCAGCAGAATGAGATTCCATCTAAAAAAAAGAAATTTTTAAAAAAATACCTAGATACAAAAAAGGAACTGGCAAGATTGAGATGAGAAAAAATACAGTTTTACCAAAGGATCTAAAAAAGGGCCTCAAATTACCCATATGAACACATACACACAAGGCAATGTCAATCCAAATTCCATCTTTTTTATTTCTGAGACAGGGTCTCACTCTTTTGCCCAGGCTGGAGTGCAATGGCACAATCTCTGCTCATTGCAGCATCAACCGCCCAGGTTCAAGCAGTCCTCTCACCTCAACCTACCCAGTAGCTGGGACTACAGGCGTGCAGCATCATGCCCAACTAATTTCAAAATTTTTATTTTGTAGAGCCAAGTTCTCACTACTTTGCCCAGGCTGGTCTCAAACTCCTGGGTTCAAGTGATCCTCCTACCTCAGCCTCCCAAAGTGCTGGGATGGAGGGCATGATCCCCTGTGCCTAGCCCAAAATCCCATCTTTTTTTTAATCCCTCTTGGTTTTGATACTTACAAGCTTACAAGAATACAAGAATGGGAAGAGCCAACAGGATCTGGGGCAGCATAAGGAGACTGGCCGTGCCCTGGCCCGCTCCTAATGTTCCAGATTAGTTCAGCTGGCCTAAGTGCCATCAACCTCCTCACCTCTTCAACACCATGATCCAAATGCCTGAAAAAATGCTATTTTACTTATTGCTAAGCTTCTTTTAGCATTTTCCAGGTAAAAAGCATTACCTATGTTAAAACGCCAGGCTCCTCACTGTAAATCCAAGGTCAGGGAGCCTGCTAAACCCCAGGGCTGCAGATAGAAAGCTGTTTTTTTGAAACGGAGCCTCACTGTCACCCAGGCTGGAGTGCAGTGGCACGATCTTGGTTCACTGCAACTTCTACGTCCTGGGTTCAAGTGATTCTCCTGCCTCAGCCTCCCGAGTAGCTGGGATTACAGGCGCCCACCACCACACCCGGCTCATTTTTGTATTATTAGTAGAGATGGGGTTTCTCCGTGTTGGCCAGGCTGGTCTTGAACTCCTAATATCAGGTGATCCACCCTCCTCAGCCTCCCAAAGTGCTGGGATTACTAGTGTTAGCCACCTCACCTGGCCAGACGGCAAGCTCTTAAGCTAAACACTGAGAACCAGGGAAATGCCCTGTGGACAGCTGGGGTCTGACCTGCTTCTCCATGCAGTGACAATACCTGGGGTTATTGTGAATGCACAGCTGCCATTAGCAGCAGTGGGCCGTCACCTCCGCTGACTACATTGTGTTTTTTCCTCCTAGAACTGTGGACGACGGAGGGCTGAGCCCCTGGGGCCCTGGTGGAGGGCTGAGTTCCTGGGGCCCTGCTGGAGGGGCTGCTGTGGCCAGGGTGCCCGGTGAGGAAGGGAGCAGGGTGGGTGGGGGTGAGCTTGGCGCCTCAGTGTCCACCTTGGCTGTGGGAGGACTGTCGAGGTGGGGAGAGACCAGCCTTGGGAACAAGGAGGAAAATGTGAGTGGGGGGCCTTGGCTTTGCCTCTTGGCATCTCTGCATCACCATCCCCAGCAGCAGAGGGTGGACAGCGCTGCTGGGATGCCAGGAGCTCCTGGGCTCCCAGGAGATCCCAGGAAACCCCAGGAACGTAGTAAGAAAAACAGCTGCTCTGAGAACCAGCATTTTCTCTTTTTTGACTCCTCCTCCTTCTTTCTTTTACTGCCTTTTTCTGATTAATAAGCTTTACCTTGTAGAGCAATTTTAGGCTCACGGAGTCTCGCTCTGTCCTCCCGGATGGAGTGCAGTGGGGTGATCTCAGCTCACTGCAGCTTCCACCTCCCACGTTCAAGTGATTCTCATGCCTCAGCCTCCCAAGCAGCTGGGATTACAAGCACCCACTACCACACCTGGCTAATTTTTGTATTTTTAGTAGAGACAGGGTCTCACCATATCTGCCAGGCTGGTCTCAAACTCCTGACCTCAAGTGATGTGCCCACCTTGGCCTCCCAAAGTGCTGGGATTACATGCATGAGCCACTGCACCAGGCGAGGCTTACAGAAAAATTGATGGGACAGTACAGAGACTTCCCATGCACTCCATGCCTGCCCCCACCTAGACTCTGCCACTGTCACTGTCCCCTGCCACAGTGGTCCACTGATTACAATCAATACACCTATACAGACATGTCACCATCACCCAATACCCATAGTTTATACTCTGGCTCACTCCTTTTTTTCTTTTTGCTTTAATTCAGTGGCAAGAAGTTAAGAGGTTTCTGCTTTGTTTTTTTTTTCCCTTAGAGATGGGGTCTTGCTCTGTTCCCCAGGCTGGAGTGCCATGGCGTGAGCATGGCTCACTGCAGCTTCGACCTCCTGGGCTCAAGCAATCCTGCTGCCTTGGCCTCCCAAGTAGCTAGGACTATAGGCACACACCCTACATTCAGCTAATGTGAAAAAAACCTTCTGAGAGATGGGTTTGCACTATGTTGCCCGAGCTGGTCTCAAACTCCTGGGCTCAAGCAACCTTCCACCTCAGTCTCCCAAAGTGTGGATTACAGGTGTGAGCCACTGTGCCCAGCCATGGGCTCACTCACTCTCGGAGTTGTACATTCTGTGGGTCTGGACAGATGTATCATGAAAACGACACGGACCTACCACTGTAGTGCCCTGCAGAGTGGTGTCACTGACCTAGGAATCATCCGTGCTCCACCAATTCATCCCTCCTCCAACCCCGGCCCCCACTGACCCTTTCTTTCACTCTCTTCCTGTCTCCTTCCTTTTGCCTTCTCCAGAATGTTAAGTCAGAACTGAATCACACAGTGTAGTATTCCTAGAGTGGCTTTTCTTTTTTTTTTTTTTCTTTTTCCCACATGTTCCAACAGAGTGGCTTCTTTCATTCCTCCCTCCTTTTGAGCGAAGTTACTTGTAACCTCATTTGTAACCATTTCCAGGTCACAAATGAAGACACCAAGATGCAGAGAGGTGACTCAGCCTGCCCATGGTCACCTAGCTGGTAAGTGGCAGGGCAGGGGCCCCAGTTCTCATCTACCTGTATTTTGTGTGATCACTGCCACCATCCAGAAACAAACAGCCCTTCCAGCCCGTTCTCAGAGGCCAGGCCAGTGGACCACACAAAGGCTGGGGAAGGAGGAAGAGGGGATCCCCGGCCCCATTCCTGGTGGCTTGCTCACCTGTCCCAGGTTGCTGGTATGGCAGGCAGCAGGTTCAGACCGTCTCTTCACAGCTCCTGGAGGTAATGCCCGACTCCATGAGGAAGCAGGAGGTGCATTCCGGCAGGGAGGCCGGCCAGGGCCACGGCACGGGCTCCCCAGCCGAGCAGGTGAAAGCCCTCATGGATCTGTTGGCAGGGAAAGGCAGTCAAGTCTCACAGGCCCTGCAGGCCCCAGACAGGACACCAGACTCCCCGCTGGGGCCCCGCAGCAATGGTAGGACCAGCTTGGGAGGCAGACATGGGGTGGGGGATCCCTGGGCCACCTGCACCCACCCTTCCCTTACCCACCCTCCCTGCTGGCGTCTGTCCCGCAGACTCCAGGATACAGAGGCACCGCGAGGCCCTGCTGAGCAGGGTGGGAGGCGGCCCAGAGCTGGGCGGCCCCTCGCAGAGGCTGCCCTCACTCTTGCTGGTGGAGGGCCTGACGGACCTGCAGCTGAGGGAGCACGACTTTACGCAGGTGGAGGCCACCCGTGGGGGTGGGTGTCCTGCCAGGACTGTCGCCCTGGATCGGCTCTTCCTGCCTCTCTCTCGAGTGTCTGTCCCACCCCGAGTCTCCATCACCATCGGAGTGGCCGGCATGGGCAAGACCACCCTGGTGAGGCACTTCGTCCGCCTCTGGGCCCGCGGGCAGGTCGGCAAGGACTTTTCGCTGGTGCTGCCTCTGACCTTCCGGGATCTCAACACCCACGAGAAGCTGTGCGCTGACCGACTTGTCCGCTCTGTCTTCCCGCACGTCGGGGAACCCAGCCTGGCAGTGGCAGCCCCAGCCAGGGCCCTCCTGATCCTGGACGGCTTGGACGAGTGCAGGACTCCTCTGGACTTCTCCAACACCGTGGCCTGCATGGACCCCAAGAAGGATATCCCGGTGGACCACCTGATCACCAACATCATTCGCGGCAACCTCTTTCCAGAAGTTTCTGTCTGGATCACCTCCCGTCCCAGTGCATCAGGCCAGATCCCGGGGGGCCTGGTGGACCGGATGACTCAGATCCGGGGCTTTAGTGAGGAGGAGATCAAGGTGTGTTTGGAGCAGATGTTCCCCGAGGACCAGGCTCTCCTGGGCTGGGTGCTGAGCCAAGTGCAGGCCGACAGGGCCCTGTACCTGATGTGCACTGTCCCAGCCTTCTGCAGGCTCACGGGGGCGGCGCTGGGCCACCTGTGGCGCAGCAGGACAGGGCCTCAGGATGCAGAGCTGTGGTCCCCAAGGACCCTGTGTGAGCTCTACTCATGGTACTTTAGGATGGCCCTCAGTGGGGAGGGGCAGGAGAAGGGCAAGGCAAGCCCTCGTATCGAGCAGATGGCCCACAGTGGCCGCAAGATGGTGGGGACACTGGGTCGGCTGGCCTTCCACGGGCTGCTCAAGAAGAAGTACGTGTTTTATGAGCAAGACATGAAGGCGTTCGGGGTGGACCTCACTCTGCTGCAGGGCGCCCTGTGCAGCTGCTTCCTTCAGCGGGAGGAGACGCTGGCATCCTCGGTAGCCTACTGCTTCACCCACCTGTCCCTGCAGGAGTTTGTGGCAGCCACATATTACTATGGCGCATCCAGGAGGGCCATCTTCGACCTCTTCACCGAGAGTGGCGTGTCCTGGCCCAGGCTGGGCTTCCTCACTCATTTCAGGAGTGCAGCCCAGAGGGCCATGCAGGTGGAGGATGGGAGGCTGGACGTGTTCCTGCGCTTCCTTTCCGGCCTCTTGTCTCCAAGGGTCAACGCCCTCCTGGCCGGCTCCCTGCTGGCCCAAGGCGAGCACCAGGCCTACCGGACTCAGGTGGCTGAGCTCCTGCAGGGCTGCCTGCGCCCTGATACCGCAGTCTGTGCACAGGCCATCAACATTCTACACTGCCTGCAGGAGCTGCAGCACACGGAGCTGGCCCGCAGCGTGGAGGAGGCCATGGAGAGTGGGGCCCTGGCTGGGCTGACTGGCCCCGCGCACCGTGCCGCCCTGGCCTACCTCCTGCAGGTGTCCGATGCCTGCGCCCAGGAAGCCAACCTGTCCATGAACCTCAGCCAGGGCGTCCTTCAGAGCCTGCTGCCCCAGCTGCTCTACTGCCGGAAGCTCAGGTGGGCACTGAGGCAGGGGTCAGGGGCTGGGGGAGAGGCAGAGGAGAGAGCATCCCTTCCCTGCCACCATGCTTCTCTATCAGTTTCCTAAGGCTGCCATAACAGAGAACCAGGAACTTAAAACAACTAAAGTGTGTTTTCTTGCAGTTCTAGAGGCCAGAAGTCTCAAATCAAGGTGCCAAGAGGGCTTCACCCTCTCTGAAACATGTAGGAGACGTTCCTTCCTTCCGCTCTAGCTTCTGGCACCTTGGCTTAAGGCTGCGTTACTTTAATCTCTGTCCCGTCTCGTGGCCATCTTCTCCCTGTGTCTGTCTCCACATGGTGCTGTCTTCTCTTTTTTGAGACGGAGTCTTGCTCTGCCACCCAGACTGGAGTACAGTGGCCTATCTCGGCTCACTGCAAACTTTATCTCCTGGGTTCAAGCGATTCTCCTGCCTCAGCCTCCTGAGTAGCTGGGATTACAGGAGCACACCACCACGCCTGCCTAATTTTTGTATTTTTAGTAGAGGAGGGGTTTCACCATGTTGGCCTGGCTGGTCTCAAACTCCTCACCTCAGGTGATCCACCTACCTCAGCCTCCCAAAATGCTGGGATTACAGGTGTGAGCCACCGTGCCTGGCCAGTGCTGTCTTCTTTTAAAAGGACACCATCATACCCGATTACAGCCCCACCCCACTCCACCATGACCCCACCTTAACAAAGCACAGCCGCAATGACTCCGTTTCTCAATAAAGCCACATACTTGGGGCACTGGGGGTTAGGACTTCATATCTTTTGGGGGTGGACACAATTCAATTCATAACCCTCTCAGACCCATCCAGTCTGACAGAAGTTGTACCCACTGAATGTTCTCAGCCCATCCCCTGCCGGCCACTCTGGACCTTAGCGAGTAGGGAGGAAAGGATGCAGGCTGAGGGTCATCCAGGTGTCCCTCAAGGCAGGTAGCATATGGGGTGGTGAGCACAAAAGCCCGTGGAAGATGTCTTTCTGCTTAGGAATCTGAGATCTTGTGGGCACTGAGCCTCCCATTCCCTCTCACGGGAAAGGTCTGTGCACCGACTTCAGAGCTGCGGTGATGATGCTGCATGGGATTAAGAGAGGCAGAGGTTCTGGGCGGTGGGACACTCACTGTCACAGCTCCCCTTGGCCAGGCTGGACACCAACCAGTTCCAGGACCCCGTGATGGAGCTGCTGGGCAGCGTGCTGAGTGGGAAGGACTGTCGCATTCAGAAGATCAGGTAACATAGAGCCAGGGGACCCCCAGGGTGCCCATGCTCTTGTGGGGTATGGAACCCTCTTCCCATCATCTTCTGCTCAGCTGGCCAGCGGTGCTGCCACGGAGAGGTGTCTTTGGAGCATGTGGCTCCAGATGTAGCCTGCTTGTTTCTGCCCAGTTCCAGAAAGTGCCAGAGTGCTTCAGGTACTTCATCAGCAGGAAGAGGGAGGTGACCTGGCAAGCACTGGACGCATGGGCAGGTGTTTCTTCAGCACTACGTGTGCTGACGTAACAGCAGGCATGATGTTCTCTAAGCACCTCTCCAAGTTTGCTGTCCAACAGCATTCTAGGCACAGAACTGCATTTTTTTCCCCGAGACGGAGTCTTGCTCTATCGCCCAGGCTGGAGTGCAGTGGTGCGATCTTGGCTCACTGCAACCTCTGCCTCCCGGGTTCAGGCAATTCTCCTGCCTCAGCCTCCTGAGTAGCTGAGATTACAGGCCTGCACCACCAGGCCCAGCTAACTTTTGTATTTTAGTAGATATGGGGTTTCACCGTCTTGGCCAGGCTGGTCTTGAACTCCTGACCTCAGGTGATCCGCACATCTCGGCTTCCCAAAGTGCTGGGATTACAGGTATGAGCCACCACGCCGGCCCATGATTGCAATTTTAATTAAAATTTAAAATTTTACATTTCAAATTTAATTAAAATTCAGTTTCCAGTTTAATTCTAAATCAATCTAGATAACTTTTAATTGAAAACTGCATCTTTAATCTTGCAGTTAGACACAAAGTTCCTATGCTGTGTGCTTATGACATCTCTCCTGGAATAGCATTCCCGTATCTGAGAAACTACACACACCTGGGGTTTGTGGTTGAATTGATGTGATTGATCCTCTAAAGGTGGCTTTTGGAGACTTAGGGAGGTGAGTTTGGAGAAGAGGACCCAAGGGGTCTTTTTTTTTTTTTTTGAGACAGAGTCCTGCTCTATCGCCCAGGCTGGAGATCTTGGCTAACTGCAAACTCCACCTCTCAGGTTCAAGGAATTCTCCTGCCTCAGCCTCCTGAGTAGCTGGGATTACAGGCGCACACCACCACACCTGGCTAATTTTTGTATTTTTAGTAGAGGTGGGGTTTCACTATGTTGGTCAGGTTGGTCTCACACTCTTGACCTCAGGTGATCCGTCTGCCTCAGCCTCCTAAAATGCTGGGATTACATGTGTGAGCCACTGCACCTGGCCCCACGGGGTAATTCTTCATTCTCATACAAGCCTCTGGGTTCTGAAATAATCTTTATCTGAGTTAATGGCAATTTAGACTGATTCAGGAACAAAAATAAATCACTGGGGAGTGCGGTTAGAGGTGTAGGTTCTGTGTGAGTTTGAACAAGTCATTCTATTTCTAAAGAGGGTAAAAATGGGGTTAAAAGGATATCTAGGCCAGGTATGATGGCTCACACCGTTAATCCCAGCACTGTGGGAGACAAATCACTAGAGGTCAGGAGTTCGAGACCAGACTGTTCAAACTGGTGAAACCCCATCTCTACTAAAAATACAAAAATTAGCCGGGCATGGTGGTGGGTCTATGTAATCCATGCTATTCAGGAGAATAGCGTGGAGAATAGCAGGAGAACAGCAATTCTCCTGTTAAAGCAGAGCTGCTTGAGTCAGGGAGACAGAGGTTGCAGCAAGCCAAGATTGCACTACTGCACACCAGCCTAGGCAACAGAGCAACAGTCTGTCTCAAAAGGAAAAAAAAGTCCAGGCACAGTGTCTCACACCTGTAATCCCAGCACTTTGTGAGGCCAAGGTGGGTGGATCGCAGGTCAGGAGTTTGAGACCAGCCTCCTGACCAACATGGTGAAACCCCAACTCCATTAAAAGGAAGAAAAAAAAGAAAAAGAAAAGGAATGACAGATTCTCACAGTTAATATTTCTTCCTTTGTGAGAGCCTCCAGCATTTTTAGCACATGACAAAGTAGCCAAATTTTAGTTTTGCTTAAAGGAGGCGAGGTAGCGCTCAGAAATTACTCAGGGACCAGGCACAGCGGCTCCTTCCTATAAGCCTAGAAATTTGGAAGGTGAAGATGGGAGGTATCTGAAGCCAGGAGTTCAAGACCAACATGGGAAACATAGCAAGATGCCATCTTTACTAAAAATAAAAATGAGTGAATTATTCTGAATGAAGCCAAAAATGTCTTTTGTGGCCACATGCTCTTTACCTCTCTGTAGTTCATCCTCAGTGCTACACCCTATTTCACCTATAAGTTAAACACAACTTAGAAAATACCATAAAAGTCCTGGGGGAGGCTGCGCATAGTGGCTCAACACCTGTAATCTCAGCTCTTTGGGTGTATCATGAGGTCAGGAGATCAAGACCACCCTGGCTAACATGGTGAAACCCCTTTTCTACTAAAAATACAAAAAAATTAGCTGGGCATGGTGGGAGTATTTACACCATGGAAACTGGCAGATGCTACAGATCAGTTTGATAGCATTTGTTTTTTGCGTTTGTGTTTTTTGTTTTGAGACATGGTCTCACTGTGTTGCTCAGGCTGGAGTGCAGTGACATGATCATGGCTCATTGCAGCCTCAACCTTCTGGGCTAAATCCTCCCTCCTCAGCCTCCCAGGTAGCTTGAACTATAGGCCAGTCACCATACCTGGCTGAGTTTTATTTTATTATTATTATTTTTTGCAGAGACAGGATCTTGCTATGTTGCCCAGGTTGGTCTCAAACTCCTGGTTTTAAGTGATGCTCGTACCTTGGCCTCCCAAAGTGCTGGGATCATATAGGGACGAGCCACCATGCACACCCCATATTTCTAAACGTTGTTTTTCCTGAGGGTTAGTTTAGCAGCACACAACCGGCTGTGATCTGCATGAGGCATCTGAGATTTCCATTTTCTTTGCTGTGCTGTTAGTGTAGAAGCTGTTGTGCTGGATTCTGGCAAAACTTTTTCCTGGGACCCTTTGCCATTGTGAGGCTTGGTCCTCCCACTCTGGCCCTACAGTGCCCAGGCTCAGGGGCTCTGCTGTGCCTGGCATTCTGCTCCAGGGGTCACCTCATCTCCACCTATGTCCAGAGCCTGATGATGTGGGGAGGCCTAGAGGATCAGTCATGCTCATAGCATTGAGAAAGGGCCATGAGATACGCACACCCGAAATAACCACTCCTCTCCCTCTCCCTGGGCAGCCTGGCGGAGAACCAGATCAGTAACAAAGGGGCCAAAGCTCTGGCCAGATCGCTCCTGGTCAACAGAAGTCTGACCTCTCTGGAGTAAGTAGGACAACCAGGGCTGGACTTTCACCATTGGAACCGGGAGAGTTGTGAGGCATCTTGCAGAGTCCCCTCCCCTCCTATTAAATGACTGGGGTCTTACCTGTCTGTCCTTCCCTGATTCCCATGATTCGGCCCCTGGGTGGCATCTGGACATAATACTCATACTTCATGTGGAGCAGGTTCTAAGACTCCTGTGAGAGTAAGACACAGGGAGGCCACACCTTAGTGCACACGCCTTCCTGGTGGGGCGGAAGGACAGCGAGCAGAACCACGGCTCCTCAGTTGCTGGGATCCAGCCAGGGAAGACCCAGATGTTTGGCCCTGCACCTGGGGCCATCATTCTCATCTCCACACTTGGCCCAAGCCCACTAGTCCATCAGGTCCTGTTTTCTTTTCCCCGACACCTGGGACAGTCTTGGGGAAACTCATTCCGTGTTCATATAAAAATCTCTGCCTGGTTCCACCAAACATGAGATCCTAGGCCCTCATACATTCCCTTAGAGCATCATGGATTTCAAGGTCCATGCAGTTCCTGTTTCCCCTTCCCTCCCTGGGACACAGATAAAGAAGGCATCTCTTCCTTTCTTCCTTCCTTCAGCCTCCGAGGTAACTCCATTGGACCACAAGGGGCCAAGGGACTGGCAGACGCTCTGAAGATCAACCGCACTCTGACCTCTCTGAGGTGCGTGTCACCTGCTCCGTCTTGTGACCCCAAGAGAGGGCCCAGAAAACCCGCTCCTCAGGCGCAACCGATGAGAGTGGGAGGTGATTCACAATGGTGGGCATGGGGCCAGGCGTGGTGGCTCATGCCTGTAATAACAACACTTTGGGAGGACGAAGTGGGTGGATCGCTTAGGGTCAGGAGTTTGAGACCAGCCTGGCCAACATGGTGAAGCACTGTCTTTACTAAAATACAAAAATTAGCTGGGCATGGTAGCAGGTGCCTGTAATCCCAGCAAGTCAGAGAATGAGGCAGGAGAATCTCGAGCCTGGGAAGCAGAGGTTGCAGTGAGCTGGAATCACGCCACTGCACTCCAGCCTGGGTGACAGAGCGAAACTCGGTCTCAAAACAAAGATGGCAGTCATGGGATACCGGCTCCCATCCCGTTGGGTGCTGGGGATCTTGTGCCTTAAGCAAGTTTCCAGGCTCCAGATCTTCCCTAGACTTTGAGCTTGTGTGTGTGGCCTGAGCAGGGACAGAGGAGACATCAGGGAGTGGTATGTAGAGATGGAAGGGCAAAACCATCTGTTAGGGAAACCTCCTGGGCTGCAATGAAGAGGAAATCCCCAAGGCCATGGTGTCAAAATTTTCCCTTGTGGTATTTTCCAGGACATCAAAAGCCCACTTTTCCAGAAAGTGCCTATGGTGTGATGTGGTTTGTTATGTCTCCTTTTTATTTTTGAGATGGAGACTTGCTCTGTCACCCAGGCTGGAGTGCAGTGGTTCAATCTCAGCTCACTGCAACCTCTGCCTCCTGGATTCAAGCAATTCTCCTGCTTCAGCCTCCCAGGTAGCTGGGATTACAGGCATGTGCCACCACACCTGGCTTTTTTTTGTATTTTTAGTAGAGACGGGCTTTCACCATGTAGGCCAGGCTGGTCTCAAACTCCTGCACTCGAGCGATCCGCCCACCTTGGCATCCCAAACTGCTGGGATTACAGGCATGAATGACCACGCCCAGCCTGTTATGTCTCCTTTAGGAGCCTAAGGTTGTACCTGTCCTTAGTTGAGTGGGTACCACTTTTCTGTTCTGTGTTTTCATTCATTCATTCATTTTTATTAGAGTGAATGTCACGTAACACAAAACTGTTTTAGGTGGGTCCCAGAGGCTGATCACTTGAGGTCAGAATTTCAAGACCAGCCTGACCAACATGGTAAAACCATGTCTCTACTTAAAAAAATTAAAAAAAAAAAAAATTAGCCAGGCATGGTGGCAGGTGCCTGTGGTCCTAGCTACTCAGAAAGCTGAGGCTGAGTTGAGCCCAGGAGGCGGAGGTTGCAGTGAACCGAGATCACACCACCGCACTCCAGCCCGGGCAACAGAGCGAGACTCCATCTCAAAAAAACAAAAACAAACAACCCTGACTGTTTTAAAGTATACAGTCCGGTGGCATTTCGTACATTCACAATGTTGTGCCACCATCCCCTCTGTCCAGTTCCAGAATATTTTTGGCACCCCTAAAGGAGACCTCAAACCCATAAGCAGTCACTTCCCATTATCCCTTCTCCCCAGCCCCTGGCAACCACCAATTAGCTTCCTGTCTCTAAGGATTTACCTCTGGACATTTACGTAAATAGGTTTATAGAGTCTGGCCTTTGGTGTTTGTTTTTCTTCCTTGAGCATGATTTTTTAGACTTCATCCATGTGGTACCATGTGCCAATGCTGCCTTCCATTTTAACTTGATGATGATTATTGAGACAGAGTTTTGCTCTTGCTGCCCAGGCTGGAGTGCAATGGTATGATCTTGGCTCACTGCAACCTCCACCTCCTAGGTTCAAGCAATTCTCGCCTCAGCCTCCCGAATAGCTGGATTACAGGCATATGCCACCACTCTTGGCTAATTTTTTATTTTTAGTAGATACGGGGTTTCTCCATGTTGATCAGGCTGGTCTCAAACTCCCGACCTCAGGTGATTCTCCCTCCTCAGCCTCCCAAAGTGCTGGGATTACAGGTGTATGACACCAAACCCAGCTACTTCATTTTTTTGAGACGTCTCGCTTTGTCACCCAGACTGGAGGGCAGTGGCAGGATCTCGGCTCACTGCAAACTCCACTTCCCGAGTTCAAGTGATTCTCTTGTCTCAGCTCCCCGAGTAGCTGGGATTACAGGCTTGTGCCACCATGCCCAGCTAATTTTGGTATTTTTAGTAGAGATGGGGTTTCACCATGTTAGCCAGGCTGGTCTCGAACTGCTGACCTCAAGTGATCCACCTGCCTCAGCCTCCCAAAGTGCTGGGATTAAAACTGTGAGCCGCTGCACCGGGCGTCTTCCCTCCATTTTAAGGCTGAATCATACATATTCCATGGTATGGACAGACCATAATGTGTTGATCCATTCACCCGATGATGGCCATTTGGGCTGTTTCTACCTTTTGGTTATATGAATAATGCTAAGCAACAGTAATTGGTTATATGAATAACGCTGTTGTGAGCACTGGTAAACAAGTCTTCCCTTGCCTGTTTTCAATTCTTTTGAGTATATAGTGAGGAATGGAATTGCTGGGTCACATGGTCACCCCGTGTTTCACCTTCTAAGGACCTGCCAGACCATGTTCCATAGAGACCGGACCATCCCGCATTCCCACCAGCAGCGTGAGGATTGTGGTTTCTCCGTATTCTCACCAACACTTGGATCCTGTGTCTTTCCGCTATAATGAGGACCACTGATGACCTTGTTGCGGTTATTCAGAGGGCACCTTGTTCCCAGCTGGCCAGCAAACACTCAGCAACCCAAAGAAAAACCTAAGCCGCAGGCAGTGGGGCAAAGGGCCAACTGCTCTCCCAGCATGGTGGGCAGTGAGGGCACGTAGTGGTCAGAGTTCCTTCTCACTCGAGCGGGCTGCTGTCCCCTCTTGGGCATCGGTGACTCTGGGGTACCTTGCTCCGTAGAGGTGCCCCACTGCGGAGAGGGTTCAAGCCCCTGAGTTCCAGCTTCTGGTCCATCATCGATGCACCTCTTCTTGTCTCTGCAGCCTCCAGGGCAACACCATCAAGGATGATGGTGCCAGGTCCATGGCTGAGGCCTTGGCCTCCAACCGGACCCTCTCCGTGCTGCAGTGAGTGGACACGTCTCCCCCTCCCCCTCTCCCTCTCCTTCTACCTCTCCCTCCTCCTTCAAGGGCCTCTCTGCCTATTGGCTGCTAGGAAGAATGGGTGGGGCTAGGACCTGAGGCCTTCTGACCTGTCTGGATGGCCCCTGGAAAACCTGATGCCCACTGCTTTTGAGAGAGCAGGTGTTGGAGAAACAAGTAAAAATAAAACCTCCTGGCCAGGCACTTTGGGAGGCCAAGGTGGGCAGATCACTTGAGGCCAGGAGTTTGAGACCAGTCTGGCCAAAATGGTGAAACACCATCTCTACTAAAAATACAAAAAAAAAAAAATTAACCAGGCATGATGGCACAAACCTGTACTACCAGCTACTTGAGAAGCTGAGGTGAGAGAATCACTTGAACCCAGGAGGCAGAGGTTGCAGTGAGCTCGGGTCACGCCACTGCACTCCAGCCTGGGCGACAGAGCGAGGCTCCATCTCAAATACATATATCTCAAATACATATATATATATATATGAGATACCTCCTGCCAACCCAGAAAATCCTCTCCATAAATGTAGGAAAGAAAACAACAATTTTATTATTGGATAAACATTAAACTGACTGCAAGATGCATCAGAGGCAACCCATCAACCAGAGTGTAAAGACAGAAAGTTCACTTTTCTAGAACCAAGCAGATAGGACCCTCCCCCTCAGGCACGAGGGCCAGGCAGCACCATTTGCCGTTTACCCTAAATACACCAGATAATTGGAGTGGCCATTTGTAGTCCCTAAGTGCCTTTACCCAAAGGAAAAGTAAAGGTACTTCACAGCTTCGAGCCAGGTGCCTAGCCTAATTCCCATGAAGGCAGGGAGAGAGGGACTTCTCTACCCATCTACTCATCAATCCACTCACCAGTTTGTTTATCCATCTATTCATCTACCCATCCATCTGTCCACTCACCCATTCATCTATTCATTCATTCAGCCATGTGTCCATCCACTCATCCACCCACCCATTCATCCACTCATTCATTCAACCATTCATCTGTCCACTCACCTGTTGATCCATCAGTAGAAAATAAAAAAAAAATATTATTTTCCTTAATATTTACATTTCAAAGAGATGACTCCAAACCCTTACAAAAGACATTCCCTACTGCAGTAGTCATTTGAAAAAAGAAAGAAAAAAAAAAAAGACATTCCCAGGCTGTGAAACTGGCCACAGGCTTTTAAAAAGATTTACATTCATCTTAAAGGGACAGAAGCAGCATTTGCAACCTCGTTTTCTCAGGGAGTGCTCTGAGAAAATGGGGGGTGGTGGAGAGTCTCTTTCCTTTCTTGAACCAGAAAAAATGCCATTTTTTTAGATTTGTATTGAGCCTCACACAGGGGAGGTTCTGCCTGTCTGTCCTGCAGAATGAGGACAGTGTTTCCCCTGTGCTGTCTCCCTCCACCAGATTTAGTACAAGAGGAAGTACCTTTTTCAGAAGAGGAACCTAAGCCAGGGTCTCCCTAGGGAGGGGTGGGAAGCAGCCTGCTGGTCTAGATGGGAGGCAGACTGGCGAGAGACTTGCCCATGGAGGTCCCAGCTCAGGAGGTTGGTGGGCATTATCAGCACCTGCCGATCTCTGCTTTCTAGCCCTTTGCAAGGGAGGCCCAGCTGCCCCGACCCCTTACTCTCCCACATCGTAATGTCGGTCTATTATCATCACTTAGGCAATAATCCAAAGACTCTTCTGGAGACCCCCCCTCCAACCTGCTGCAATAAATGAACAGGGCACCCTAGTAGTCCCTGACCTTGAAGCTGAATTGTCCTTGGGCTGGGAATGGCTGTGACCAGCCTTCCTGAAAGATACCTCTCTTCTCCCACAGCCTGCAGAAGAACAGCATTGGGCCCACGGGAGCCCAGTGGATGGCAGATGCCTTGAAGCAGAATAGGAGTCTGAAGGAGCTCATGTGAGACATATAAAAAGGCCACACTCAGTGCCCAGCACAATGCCCAACCCAGCACAAATATTTTTGAGCCTGGGAGTGGATGGATGAATGGATGGATGGATTGGTGAATAAGTGGATGGGTGGGTGGGTAAATGGACTGATGGATAGGTGGATGGATAGATGGAAGGGTGAATGGGTGAATGAATGGATAAACTGATGAGTTGACGGATGGATGAGTGGATAGATGAATGGATGGATATTAGGTGGATGAATGGATGGATGGGTGGGTGGGTGGGTAGGGGTGGATGGGTAGGTAGGTGGATGGGTGAAAGAATGGATAAATGAATGAGATGGATGGATGAGTGCCTGATCGATGGGTGAATGGATGGATGGATGGTTGAATGAATGAGTGGATAGATGGATGAATGGATGGACTGTGGGCAAATGGATGGATGAATAGATGAATGGATGGGTGGGTAGATGAGTGGATGGATAAATGAACTGATGGGTGAGTGGATTGATGGATGGGTGAATGGATGGATGGGTGGATGAGTGGGTAGATGGATAGATGGATGAGTGTATAAATGGATGAGTGGGTGGATGGATGGAGGGGTGGGTAGGTGGATGGGAGGGTGAGTGAATGAATGAATGGGTGAGTGGGTGGATGGATGGATAGATGGTTTAATTAATGGATGGATGGATGGATGGATGATGGGTGGTTGAATAGATGGATGGATGAGTGGATAAGTGGATGAATGGATGAGTTGATGGGTGAATGGACTGATGAATGGATGAATGGATGGTTGAATGAATGAGTGGATGAATGAGTGAGTAGATGGATGAGTGGATATGTGAATGAATGGATGCATGGGTAGATGAGTGGATAAATGGACGGCTGAATGGTGGATGGATGGGTGAAAAGGTGGAAGGGTGCATGAATGGATGGATGGGTGAGTGGATGAATAAATGGATGAGTGGATGGATCAACAGGTGAGTGGACAGATGAATGGTTGAATGAATGAGTGGATGAATGGGTGGGTGGATGAGTGGATGGACACATGGCTGAATGAATGAATAGATGAATGGGTGAGTGGACAGATGGATGGGTAGATGAATAGATGGATAAACAAACTGGTGAGTGGACTGATGAGTAGATGGGTAGAGAGGATGGATGAATGGGTGAGTAAGTGGGTGGGTGGGCAGGTGGATGTATGGATGAACGGATGGATAGATGGATTTATAAATGAGAGGGTGGGTGAATGGATAAACTGATAGGCGAGTGGATGGATACATGTGTGGTACTGGTTAGCTGGCTTTGGACTCCAAAAGCACTAAGCTCAGGAGAATGAAGACTCAGATTCCCAGGACTGGGTGAACCTCAACCTGAGAAGGCAGAAGAAAACATTTCCTCACCGTTTTCACAAAAGTCCCCAAAATACTTATCACTAAAGGGCTGACCTTCATTGCCAGGGAGTCAAGAAGGACTTTGCTACTCTGATTTTTTACAGGCAACAGGTCGTTCACCTGCAGAGACTACAGCCAACAGGCTTCAGGCAGAACAAACTGCGCACTGGCCACCCTAGAGACAACAGAGCCAGCCCTCCCATGAGGGTTTCCCTGACCCTGATCCCTCCGCCTAGCCCTGCCTGGCAGTTCCTGGGTGTTGGCTCATCCATATCCCTTCTCTTGCAGGCTCTCCAGTAATAGTATTGGTGATGGAGGTGCCAAGGCCCTGGCTGAGGCCCTGAAGGGGAACCAGGGCCTAGAGAGCCTGGAGTGAGTCCACCTGACCCCTGTCAGGGTGACAATTCCCCCTGGGTTCTCCTTCCAGTAGATGGTGGGCTGGCAGTCCTGAAAAATGGCTGTCCCCCAGGGCCATTTCCCTGTCAGCACCAACCCTGGGCACACACTGTCCTCAGTCTCCCCTGCCCCACCGGCTCCGTTTCCCTAGACAGTGGGGGCGCTGGGGCAGGGTCTCGAGTGTTTGGAATGATGAGCTCCAAGTGCCCTTGAGAAGCCAGCATGAGTGGCTGGAGAGAGTCAGCTGCAGCAGCTTTGGTGGGGGGGCAGAAGAGCTCAGCACTGCACCCACACTTGGGGAACCTGCTGTGCCACTCCCTCTGGGGGCTGCAGACCCAACAAACCCTGCTCCGAGGCTGTCTGGGTCCAGCCACATCGAGGGAGAGTTTGAATTTGGGGGCTTGTTATGCTAAACCTGCCTGCCCTGACCTGGCAGGGGCTATCAGATGGTGGGGATGGGAGAGTAAAGAGGGAAGAGGAAAGTAGCAGGGTGGGCACCACTGTCCCTGGGGCCCCCAACTCCCTGTTGAACCTAGTGCCTCCTGTCCCAGACTGGACAGGGTAGCTCTCTCTGGGTCCTGGGATGGCCACACCCAGGGTGCCTCCTCCTCTGTCCACAGCCTGCAGAGCAATTCCATCAGTGACACGGGAGTGGCAGCACTGATGGGGGCTCTCTGCACCAACCAGGCCCTCCTCAGCCTCAGGTAGGTCCTGGCCGCCCTCTCTGACCAGGGCGTTTCTTTGATTGGGTGACTATCTGCAGGGACTTGGCACTGGGAAGCCTGTCTCAGGGAAATCTATGGCTGAGGAAGCCTTCCTGGCAGCCTGGCCCTCTTCCTGCTCTCTTGGGGTGCAGGGAACAGCTGCTGCCCACAGTGGCCCTTTCTGCCGCTCTCTTTGCAGATGCAGGCTCAGCCTCCTGTCCCCTTGCACCTCTGGGGCCCTGTTGTCCTGTCCACTCCCTGTACTGTAGATGGTCCTACAGCGGGGGCGCCTGGCTGGCCTAGCACTGGCTAGCTGGCATCGGATCCTTCAGACCTCAGCCTAGACTGTACAGAACCGTACATCCCCGACCTGCAGTTTCTTGGGCTTCGAGAAACCTAAACACCTGGGCTTGGCTCTGCCAGATGCCTCCTCTGCCCGATTAGAAGCTCAGGTCTTTTATTTTGTTTCAGCCTTCGAGAAAACTCCATCAGTCCTGAGGGAGCCAAGGCCATCGCACGTGCCCTCCGTGCCAACAGCACCCTGAAAAACCTGGAGTACGTGGTGGGGGCCTGTGCCTCTGAAGGCTGTTCATTCCATGGTCACACCCACACTGACCCTGGGCTGACGGGCACCCTCGCAACATCACAGGGTTGGAGGAGCTGGCTGGGGAGGGCACAGCCAGGAAGCTGGCATTGGGTAGCAAGTCCCCCACTCTCATAGTGTAAACTGCACAAGGGTGAGGCTGGTGTGACACCATCTGCCTCAGCTGGTGGGGATGGATGAGGATGGGGCCATGCCACTGGACAGCACATCCCCAGGAAGCTCCCCCACGTCCTGGCACTGTGACCTGGCATCGAGCCCCGGATTCCCTGGTGACCAAGGACCAGAGACTTCATGGTCAGCCCCCTTGGCTCACTTGCTCCTGTTCCTTTCCTCCTAGCCTGACAGCCAACCTCCTCCATGACCAGGGTGCCCAGGCCGTTGCAGGGGCAGTGAGAGAAAACCGTGCCCTCACCTCCCTTCAGTGAGTCTCAGCTTTTCACCCTGTTCTGTATCCCTTCTGCAGAGCTGAGGGGTTCCACCCAAACCAACAATGTACAGGCCAAGCCTGGTTTGGGGGCACCACCTGCAAAGGTCTCAGGGGCTGCCAGCAGGCTGTGCCCCATCCTGTGCTCTCCTGATCCACAGACAGACACGTGTTAAGAGGTCGTCACAGCTGGGCCTCCAGGTGCCCATGAGGTTTCATGCAGGGGCCATATGGAGGTTTCTTTCCTTGCTTAGTCCCTGGCCCTCTGGGGACTAAGCCTGGGTGGGGGTTGCAGGAATTCTCCTGCCACATCCTGCAGGGATTCCAACCCTGCCATCAAGCCCCCTTGGCTCTGCCCCAGGGCCACACAGTCACATGTGTCTGTGTCTAACCAGCCTGCAGTGGAACTTCATCCAGGCCGGCGCTGCCCAGGTGCTCGGACAAGCACTACAGCTCAACAGGAGCCTCACCAGCTTAGAGTAAGTTGGCCTGACCAGGGGCTGAGGGGGGCAGAGGAATCTGAAAACTTGGTGCCCACCAGGCAGAGGCCCAATTCAGTGACCCTTGGCACACAGCCTCCTCTTCCCTAAGGCCAGCGGGCACATTTCAGTCCTTGATCCACCTGCCTTTTAAATACATTGGCTGGGGACAGAGGCTCACACCTGTAATCCCAGCGCTTTGGGAGGCCGAGGCAGGTGGATCACCTGGTCAGGAGTTCAAGATGAGCCTGGCCAAATAGCGAAACCCCGTCTCTACTAAAAATACAAAAATTAATCAGGTGTGCTGATGCATGCCTGTAATCCTAAGGAGGCTGAGGCAGGAGAATTGCTTGAACCCAGGAGGCACAGGTCGCCGTGAACTGAGATCATGTCACGGCACTCCAGCCTGGGTGACAGAGCAAGACTCCATCTCCAAATATATATATATATATGTGTGTGTGTGTGTGTGTGTGTGTGTGTGATATACATATACATACACATATACATATCACATATATATGTGCATATACACATATATACGACAGCTTTGAGATATAATCTTCAAGCCAGAAGATCCACCCACTTAGTCTATAATTTACTGGTTTCTGGTGTATTCAGTGATGCAACAATCACAATGAGTTTTACATTTCCATCACCCCAAAAAGAACCCCCGTCCTCATCAGCACTCACTACCCATTCTCCTTTTCCCCAACGCTGACAACCACTAATCCACCGTCTCCATGATCTTCCCACCCTGGACATTTTATAGAAATGAAATTGGAGTCCCACAGCACATGGCCTTTTGTGGCTGGAGGGCTTTCATCTGGTGTCAGATTTTCGAGGTTCATCCACAATGTAGCCTGTGTCAGTATGTCCTTCCTTTGTAAGGCTGAATGATACCCACTGTATGGGGAGACCGCTGCTATTTCTCTCTCATCCAAGTACTAACCAGGCCCGACCCTGCTTAGCTTCCGGGATCAGACGAGATCGGGTGCGTTCCGGGTGGGATGGCCGTAGACAACTGTTATTTCTTTATTCATCAGTTGATGGACACTGGGTTGTTCCTCCTTGGCTGTTAGGAACGGTGCTGCTGTGGACACTGGGGCTCCAGTTTCTGTGTGGACGTGAGCTTTCCTGCTCCTGGGTGGATACTCCTGGGAGTGGAATCGCTGGGGCATGCAGGAACTCTCGGTTTAACCTTAGGAGCCTCATTGGCCTTTCTCCTTGAGCATTTCTTCCCTCTCGGCTTCCAGGATGTCCTCTCTGGCTGGGCCTTGCCCTCCTTTCTTCTGTTTACCTCTTCAGCACAGTGTTCCTCAGGGATCTGTCCCATGTCATCTTCCCTTGCCTGACGTCTCTTTTCTGGGAACTCTCCACTCCCAGAAAGACCTTCAAAGTCCCAACGACTCTCATATCTGTGTCCCAGGCCTCTCTCCTGAGCCCAGGACCTGCACGTCCACACCCCTTCCCCAAGTCCCCCTTGGGGTCTCACCTCTCTCCTGAGCCCCGGACCTGCACGTCCACACCCCTTCCCCAAGTCCCCCTTGGGGGTCTCACCTCTCTCCTGAGCCCCGGACCTGAGATTCCACACCCCCACAGCACCTCCCCTTGGGGTTTCATAGGGGTGCAGGTTCCCTACATTCTCTCTCCCAAAAACCTCCTTCTTGGTTCCCCATCTCATGAATGGAACCAACTATGCAAGCTAGAAACAATGCCTTCACTCTCACCTCCTACCTCCTTTTCTATCATTTTTATTTTATTTTTGAGATGGAGTTTCGCTCTGTCCCCCTGACTAGAGTGCAGTGGCGTGATCTCAGCTCACTGCAACCTCCGCCTCCTGGGTGCAAATAATTCTCCTGCCTTAGCCTCCCAAGTAGCTGGGATTACAGATGCCCAACACCACACCCAGTTAGTGTGTGTGTGTGTGTGTGTGTGTGTGTGTTTTAGTAGAGATGGGTTTCACTGTGTTGGTCAGGCTGGTCTAGAACTCCTGACTTTTAAGTGATCCTCCCGCCTCAGCCTCCCAAAGTGCTGGGATTACAGGCATGAGCTACTGCGCCTGGCCTATAATTTATTTATTAATTTTTTGAGACGGAGTTTTGCTGTTGTTACCCAGACTGGAGTGCAATGGCACGATCTTGGCTCACCACAACCTCCGCCTTCTGGGTTCAAGCAATTCTTCTGCCTCGGCCTCCCGAGTAGCTGGGACTACAGGCACGTGCCACCATGCCCAGCTAATTTTTGTATTTTTAGTAGAGACGGGGTTTCACCGTGTTGACCAGGATGGTCTCGATCTCTTGACCTCGTGATCCACCCACCTCGGCCTCCCAAAGTGCTGGGATTATAGGCGTGAGCCACCGCCTATTTTTAAAAATAATATGTACAATTTTTTTTTAAGAGATGGGGCCTCACTATGCTGCCCAGGCTGGTCTTGAACTCCTGGGCTCAAGCAATCCTCCCACCTTGGCCTCTCAAAGACCTGGGATTACAGGTGTGAGCCAATGTGCCTGGCCACTCCTGCTTCCTATTCATTGTCAAGTCCTGTTGGGTCCCCTCTGTGTCCCTGCCACCCACCCGACTCCCTCTGCTCCACTGCCACCACCCAGGCCATCAGCACTGCTCACCTCCATCCCCATGGCAGCCTCCACTTCAGTCCATCCTCTCACACTGCTGGCCAGAGACCTTTCCAGAATGCAGCTCTGTCCCCGTCTTGGGTGCCAACCTTGAATGGCTGCTGAGGGCCTGCAGAGTCAAGTACATACAGCCCCTCTGGGTGGCTTCTGGGACCCCTAAAATCTGCTTCCTTTGTCCCTCCCTGGACTAGTTTCTTCCTCTCCCGGAAATGAATTCAATTTGTTTGGGTTCCTTAGCTGAGCCAGGCCTGCTCCCAACTTTGGGTTTTGACCTGCTTCTTCTGGGGAGCCTTCTGTGACCACCCTGGGGTGGAAGATGCTGCGTGGGTTTTCCCTGCACCTGCACTTGGCCTGATGTAACTGCTCATTTGATCACATCTTCCCACCTGAACTTCAAAAGAGGGAACTGGGCCTGCTTCCTTGTACAACGCCTAGCACATGAGACACACTCAAATATATATATATATATATATATATATATATATATATATATATATATATATATTTGAGACAAAGTCTTACTCTGTTGCCCAGGCTGGAGTGCAGTGGTGTGATCTTGGCTCACTGCAACCTCCACCTCCTAGGTTCAAGCAATTCCACCTCAGCCTCCTGAGTAGCTGGGACTACAGGCGCCCTCCACCATTCCTGGTTAATTTTAGAATTTTTAGTAGAGATGGGGTTTCACCATGTTGGCCAGGCTGGTTTCAAACTCCTGACCTCAAGTGAGCCACCGCCTCAGCCTCCCAAAGTGCTGCGATTAAAGGCGTGCGCCCCCACGCCCTGCCACGCTCAAATGGCTGTTAACATAATGCAAACAGCTCTTAGCCTTAAATATACCAACCTGCACTTGAGCTAAACTCAGTCATTCACTGCTCCAGGGCCTGCTATTTTCCTCCAATTTAGAAGGGAAAAAATGACATAAAACCCTAATTAGCAAGAATGGCCAAGGAGGTCGGGCGTGGTGGCTCACATCTGTAATCCCAGCAACTTGGGATGCCAAGGTAGGATTGCTTGAGCCCAGGAGTTAAAGACCAGAATGGGAAACATAATGAGACCTCATCTCTATCAAAGAATAAAAATATTACCTGGGGCCAGGCGCAGTGGCACATGCCTGTAATCCCAGCACTTTGGGAGGCTGAGGTGGGTGGCTCACGAGGTCAGGGGTTCAAGACAAGCCTGGCCAAGATGGTGAAACTCCGTCTCTACTACAGTACAAAAAATTAGCCAGGCATGGCGGTGGGTTCCTGCAATCCCAGAACAGCTTAAACCCGGTAGGTGGAGACTGCCGTGAGCTGAGATCGCGCCACTGCACTCCAGCCTGTACAACAGGGCTAGACTCTGTCTCAAAAAATAAAAAAAAAAAAATTAGCTGGACATGGTGGCCTGTGCTTTTAGTCCCAGTCTCTAGTAAGTATTCCAGTCTTCTCAGGAGGCTAAGGTGGGAGGAGGTGGGAGGATCACTTGAGTCGGGGAAGTTGAGGCTGCATTCCAGCCTGAGTGGCGGAGTGACCCTCTCTCAAGAGAAATCGAAACAAACAAGACCTCAAGAGCTCCGGGATTGAGGGCTCCAAGTTCATTTTCTGGTTGGCCATGAAAAGCATCCCCTTTTGTGTCCTAAGCCCCTGTTGACAGTCACTCCATGTGTCCCATTTCCTGCTTGCCCCTGGTGGTTCAGGCTCAAGGCAGGCCACAGGCCCCTCTGTGTGCTGTGGAGGAAGGGTAGGTATCCCCAGGGAAACGCTGGGACTCTATGTCTATGGTGTGTGTAGTCTGTCAAACCCGGCAGGTCCAAGTGGGGCAGGCCCTTGCTAGAATGCTCCCTGCGCCCCACGCACTTGAAGGGGTCACATTCTGTGCTCAGTTTACAGGAGAACGACATCGGGGATGAAGGAGTGTGTGCGGTGGCCCGTGCGCTGAAGGTCAACACAGCCCTCACCGCTCTCTAGTAAGTCCTAGATGTGTGTGGCAGCCAGGAAGCCTGGCCCCTTCACCATCCTTCCATGTTAGATGTCTTTTTGGTTTGTTTTTTTCAAGACAGAGTCTTGCTTTGCTGCCCAGGCTGGAGGGCAGTGGCACAGTCTTGGCCAACTGTAGCCTCTGCCTCCTGGGTTCAAGTGATTCTCCAGCCTCAGCCCCCCGCAAGTAGCTGGGATTACAGGAATGCGCCACCACACCCAGCCTAATTTTTGTATTTTTAGTAGCAACGGGGTTTCACCATGTTGGCCAGGATGATCTCAAACTGCTGACTTCAGGTGATCTGCCTCCCTCGGCCTCCCAAAAGGCTGGGGTTACAGCCGTGAGCCACTGTGCCCGGCCTACACGTTATTTTTGTTTATAAGTCAAGGAAGGTATGTTTGGTTTTCCTAATATTATAGAAAATATTCTATTAGCAATTCAAACTATTAGTAATGGGGGGGTGCAGGGAGAGCCTCTATTTCTCATGTCTTTTGCATCCAGATCTCTGTCTTAGGCAACAGACAGTGTAGGTAGGAGATGGAGGGCCTAGACAGAGCACTGGCCAGCCTTCTCAGTACTGTTTCTCCACTTTTGGCCCTCAGTCAAGGGGTGGTGAAAGGGAAGGGAGTGTGCAGAGGGAGCTGGGCCCAGCTGGCTCACACTGACAGCACCCTCCCCGCCCCAGTCTCCAGGTGGCATCCATTGGTGCTCCAGGTGCCCAGGTGCTAGGGGAAGCCCTGGCTGTGAACAGAACCTTGGAGATTCTCGAGTAAGTGTTCCACTCTCCAGCTATGGTCTTTAAACCAAATGAAATCAGTGAAATCTCAATGAGTAGGTAGGGGACAAAGTTTACAGGCAACTCACAAATCATCCTAGTGACTTCATCTCAAGGCAAGTGTGCCAGCTTCCCAGCCCCACTTCATGCCTTTCCCTGGGAGTTGCTATCTTTTGCCCTCCTCTCCAGGTTGGCCTTGCCAGGCTGGACATGTCTAGAGGCCTGGTTTATGGGTCCTGGGGTGGCTGATCTTGTTCTATGAGCAGATCCAAAGTCCTGGGGTGAGGCTACAGCTCTGAGGCTCAGGGGTGTCCTCAGAATCCCTGCCCTTGCTGTGGGCACTGGGGACCTGCCAGGATGGAGGGCTGCCTCTCCTGTCTCAACCTCGCTTTTCTGTTTGGAATGGAAGAGGATGAAGGCTTCAACAACCCACCTGGCTGGGCCAGCCACACCCCTTCCTATGTGCCCTGCTTCCCAGGGCCAGCTCTGCCCTCTTGCCCCAGAGTGAGGAAGGCATGGCCTCCTGTGACTGCTGACGTCCTTTGTCTCCTCTACCAAGTAGCCCCAAGCCCACCTGAAGAGGGTTCAGGATCACGTCTCAGCCTGTACCCATGCCTTAGGCTTCCTGTCTTTCCCTACAGCTTAAGAGGAAATGCCATTGGGGTGGCTGGAGCCAAAGCCCTGGCGAATGCTCTGAAGGTAAACTCCAGTCTCCGGAGACTCAAGTAAGCGGCTGGAGGGACCTACCTGCATCCTGGAACAGCAGAGTCTCTGCTGGGTCCTCCCCGCTGGGATAAAATGCTCCCAATTTCCTCTGCAGCTACTTCCTTCTGAATATAAATAATCAGACTTATTAATATGGTCCACATTCCCCTGCTCAGGGTTTAGTCTGCTCAGCTTAAGTCAGAAGTCACTCCCATCTGCATTTACGGCATTACATCCTCCATGGTACTAGGGTGGGACGGCCTGGCCAGGCGCAGACACCTGCCTACAAGGTCAGCTGCCACCTACAGTTGCCACGGCACTTGTGGACACATCAGCCTAGGTTACTGCCCCCAGACAATGCAGTGTTGCTTTCTCGGGTGTTTCCTTATGCCCCAATGGCTCACCATGGTGGCTCCATCTTTTCTCTGCCTAGTCTTCAAGAGAATTCCCTGGGGATGGATGGGGCAATATTCATTGCCACGGCACTGTCTGGAAACCACAGGCTCCAGCATATCAAGTGAGTGCACCTGCCCTTCCTGCTCACCCTTAGAACTGCTTCCAGGTCACACCCTGCCTTTTGCCCAGGTCTGAGAGCCAGCTGACCCCCAGACCCCTCAGAAGCCCTACAGGGAAACCTGGTCTAAGGGGAGTCATCCTGAGCCTTGTCCATGGCAGAAATCCTAGAAGCACAAACTGCATTTTCTGTCGTGATGATCTGCTCTACTAAGGAGAACCTGTAGGCTTCCAGCCCGGCTTTAATCCTTCTCTTCTAGTCTCCAGGGAAACCACATTGGAGACTCGGGGGCCAGGATGATCTCAGAGGTCATCAAGACAAATGCACCCATGTGCACCGTTGAAATGTGAGCAAAATGAGTTCCTGGTGGATGGAGCAGGAGGACGGGCAGTCAGCTGGAAGCTTTTGAACAGAAAGGCCAACTTCTGGGGACCTTCCTGGGAGCTGGGAACGCTGCTCACTCAGCACGAGCACATGGAGGAAGGAGAGGTGCTGCCAAAGGAGGTCGTGAGCCCCTCTCCTGGTGCAGGAGTGGTCCTAGCAGGGGCCAACAAGTACTCTGCTACGGCACAGAGAAGGGAGGGGGCCACCACCAAGGAACTAGGAGACAAAGGTCTGAAAGCTCAGCAGTGTAGGAGGCTAATTCCAGCTTATTTACAACCTGAGGACTTCATATGCCCCCAACCCTTAAAAATGTTGATTACTGCCCCTTTCCACTCACCTGGTTAAAATCACCTCAAGCCTGTGAGGAGCATGCGTTTGGCAGGGGCGACAGAGGGGACCCCTCTTTCTTTTCTCAAGAAGAAGGTTTTAGGGCATCATCCTTACAGACACGAAAACATTATGGAAAAATTGTGAAGAAAAATTGAAAGTTTTAATTCTAGGATTCTAGAAACAGAGACAAGAGAATTTTTTAAGAGTCTCACTCTTGTTGCCCAGGCTGGAGTGCAGTGATGCAACTTCGGCTCACTGCAGCCTCTGCCTCCCATGTGATTCTCATGTGATTCTCCTGCCCAGGATTCACGTCATCCTCCCCAGTAGCTGGGATTACAAGTGCCCACCACTATGCCTGGCTACTTTTTGTATTGTTATACTGAGATGGGGTTTCTCCATGTTGCCCAGGCTGGTCTGGAACTCCTGACCTCAAGTGATCCACCCACCTCAGCCTCCCAAAGGGCTGGGATTAGAGGCGTGAGCCACTGCGCTCGGCAGTGATGTCCTTCCTTATTAGGCTTCCAAAGCCACTGCTGTGGCCACAGCTTCCCTATGGAGGAGACCGGCAAGCTGAGCCTCTATGTGGCACCAATTCCCACAGCTGCGTTGGAAGGAAAAAAATCCAAATGGACATCACAGCTTTCATCAATTAAAGAACTACAGAAAATGTTTATGAAGACTATAAAGCAATGATCATTTTTGAATTTGAAAGGAATCACACTATTGTTTAAAATGTTCCTTCAAAAGTGAGCATCCAGACCGGAATGATCATGGATGCTAAGGCCATGGATACAGGCTTACTTGGGAAGATGATATCCTCACAGTCTCAAAATAGCAACCCACAAAGGTGATACCCTAATTTACAAAAGGAAAAAGCTACCTTAATCTAAAATCTGGCCAATGCAGTCTCAACAGAAGTGACAGAATTGGACATCGCTAATAATGGGACAAGTGGACGTCATGTGCCCCCAGTCTGATGCACCACAGAGTCGTCTCTGATGTAGTCTTCTTGTCAAAAAACGTTTGCTTGATTCTAATCATGAAGGAACAATTAGAAAAAAATCCAAACTAATGGATATTCTGCAAAATAAATGACCTGACCTCATCAGAAACATCAACGTCATGAAAAACACCGAAGGTCGCAGAAAGTGTGAATTAACTTAGTAGAGATCTACCTTAATGCAAGATCTTTGGCTGGATCCTAGACTGGAGGAAGAAGTCTGCTATGAAGCACATTTAGATCACTTGTACTAGCTGGGAAATAACAAACAAAACATTATTTGTAAAAGGGGGAAATCTGAACATGGCTCTTGTGGTAATTGAGTTTGTGCTGGGCATAGACTTCTAGACTGACAGCTGTTTTAGTGAGCTTAAGGTGATGCCCCACTGCCTGCTGGTTTGCATTGTTTCTGTCTGAGTGAAGAGCTGGGCAGAACACAGAGAGCGCTGCAGAGCCAAACACTGCAGAAAGCTGGACCCCGCAGAAACCTAACACTGAAGAAACCTCAGGAGCCAAGGTGGTGGAGAAAACACAGAGTCCCTCTGTCCCTTTTCAAATAATGATCGTACATCTTCAAGCTGTCTGAAATGGTTAGGGAGTTCAGGGACGCAGCAGAGCCAGCTGGCCCAAAAATCCCATCAGAGCAACACAGGAGAATTTAATTCATGTCCACACAGAAAGGACTTACAGGTAAGAGGAAGGCCCTATAGCTCCCTTCCAATTAAAGGAGTCCTCAACTCTAGCATCTGAGAGTCCCCTGGGTCTAACAGCTGTGCTATTTATGTAGTGTGTTGCTCACCTAAATGAATATAATTTCCTTCCAGACACGTGACACTGGTATTAAAGTGCCAACGAAAGGGATCTATTTATTCTTCATGTTAAAAGAGAAACAATAGTTCAGATATTCGATCAGAAGTCCAAGGACTTTGTTTTTGGTAACCAGTACCAATAAAAATTGAGTATCTGAAAAATTCCTTTGTAGTTTCCATCAATACACATTTTTAAAAGCATTTTAGGAAGTCCTCTAATTACACAGCAAAAAAATGGTCAGCAGTGGCCTGCTAGGTTCTCACCGACCTAATCACAACTACCCTCCTCAGGTTCTGAGGTCTGCTCTGCTGCTTGGCCAAAACCACATGGTGCCAGGTCACAAGGCACTTGCACCTATGTGACTCCTGGATCCATTCTACAGTGGGTCACTATTAACTGAAATACTTTAATGAAAATGATCGAGTACACAAAGCTTGCTGTTGACAGAAACTTCCTTGCTCAGGCGAGGCAGTGCAACTGGACACGGTGAGACTCTGCACACAGTCAGTTCACCAAATGAACTAGAAGCAGGTGGCACAATGAAGCGCCCTTGGCAACTGCTGCCGATGTCTGTGGATGGGCTCTTTGTAGCTCAGGTTAGGCTTCTGTGTTAAAGTGCATTAGAAGAAAATATCACACAAGGAAAATAGAACTCTATTTGCATGTTTTTTTCAAAACAGACGTCAAGTCAGATTCAGGCACACCAAATCCGTAACATCCAAGAAGATGGAGTGAGTCTTCCGCATCTGAAAGCCACGGCATCTGAGGTGGCTGGCATGGCTCCAACGCATGGCTTCCCTGTCGTGTACCAATTACCACATAGTGCATTTCAAACTACTAGTGAATTCACTGAATGTTGGCTTTTTTTTTTTTTAAAAGGAGTAATCTTAAAATTTAGGAAAAGAGAAAAAAAGCAAAGATGACAGAAATAATTGTCACAATCTCCTAAAATTGATGTCTATCATATCATACCTGTGAACTCTTGAATAAGTATTTATATCTGACAGGTACAAATAAAATTATACTTTTAAGTAAAACCTATTTAATAATATGAAATATGCTGTTAAATACATTTATTAAAAGATTAAAAAAAAAAACTAATTTCAGAAGTCTTCTGAGTTTTTAATGGTAAATAAAATTTGTGCTTTTCTTTTTAATGTCCTGTATACTTTTTTTTTTTTTTTGAGATGGGGTCTCACTTGGTCGCCCAAGCTGGAGTACAATGGTGTGATCTCGGCTCACTACAACCTCCGCCTCTGGAGTTCAAGGGATTCTCCTGCCTCAGCCTCCCCAGTAGCTGGGGTTACAGGCATATGTCACCACACTCAGCTAATTTTTGTATTTTTAGTAGAAATGGGATTTCACCATGTTGGTCAGGCTGGTCCCCTGATCTCAGGTGATCCACCTGCCTCAGCCTCTCTAGGATTACAGGTGTGAGCCACTGTGCCCTGCCTACTGTATACTTTTTACAAGCAGCATGCTTTTCTTTTTCATTTTTTTAAAGACAGGGTCTTGCTCTGTTGCCCAGGCTGGAGTGCAGTGGCATGATCATGGCTCATTGCACCCTCAACCTCCTGGTCTCAAATGATCCTCCTGCCTCCACCTCCCGAGTAGCTGGGACCACAGGCATGCACCTCCACACCTGGCTAATTTTTAAATTTTTTGTAGAGATGGAGTCTCACTTAGTTGTACAGGTTAGTCTCAAACTTTTGGGCTCAAGTGATCTTCCCACCCTGGCCTCCTGAGTAGCTGGGCCCCATGCCCAGCTAAGTACTTTTTATACTAAAAAAACAAACTCCACTTCTAATTTTACAACAGAAAAATTTTTCTAGTGCTACTATTCTACCTAATTCAATCCTGTGTTGCTGTTGTTTTAAATCAGAAACATGAACCTGTGCTGACACTTTTTCCTTAACTGGCTCCTTCCCCTACAGAAACACCTGGGTAGTGAGCGGCAGGAAACCTGCCTTAGTCCCTGTGTTGGGCACTAATGGCTTGCACACTTTAGACAAAAAAAATCTCCTTTAGAAAGACCCGGCTGTCATTGCCATGGGAGTCTGGAATCTCTGCGAGGGCAACCCAGGCCACCAGAGTTTTCAAACTTAGTACCAGCTGTGGAAACAGAAGGTGGCTGTAATGGAAGGTGAACTGGACTCAGAGAGAAAATGGAGTATTCCTCATCTGGAGCCTGTCTCTATTGCCTGATTTTCAAGGAAAGTCAGTTTTCATTTAACTTTAGCTAACCTTCTTTCAGCAAATTTTAATTATTAAAATACACTTAATGCTTGGTATGGTGAACATGCAGAAGAAAGAACATAAGACTACAAAATGAAATAAGGGCTAGAATTAAGAGTCGATGCACAGGAAACGTTCTAAGCTGTTCAAGTGATTGACAGCCAGGTGTTCCTCTACCGTTCCAAACACAAGTCCCAGGGCCAAGCTCCAGCCCCGAGTCTGTTAGACTCTCAGAGAAAATGTACAACAAAGGCAGCCAAGACTTGCGTGGCATCAGCTCTTATTTCTCCTTGAGTTTTTGTCCTGCAGATGTCAATCACTAACAACACTCACATTCCTCAAGTTTTAGGAGATAAAAAGGTGAAAAAGAAAAACAAACTGAGATTTGCTTCCATTCTTATTTAAGCTTCATGGAATGCAATCACAGGAGCCTAAAGCAGAAATAAGTATTGCTTCAGTATTCAGAGTCCAGCTAGCTTCGTGAGCAAAACAGGAGCCACCTTCCTAACCTAAGTTCCCATTTACCTACACAACTGAGGATTTTAATCTGCCTGGGTCCCTTAGCAAGAAGGTCAGAAGTCGTTGTCACTGTCCTCCAGCGGTTCAGGTTTCTGGACCCTTTGATTGGGCTTGGTTGGCGAGAGAGCAATGCTCTCATCTTCCAAATCCTCATCCTCCTCATCATCATCTTCCATGTCAATTTCACTGTCCTCCGAATCCTCCTATAGGAAAAAGACGGCAGATACAACAGGGGGTCCCACCTCATTCCTGACATCTTGTCCTAGGATTCTCTGCTTCCCTTTCTATAGCAGCATCCCCATGTGAAGGAAGAGGCTGGCAGAATGGCAGGCAGGCTGTGGGATGGCACACGGATGGGACTGAGGCAATGTTCTGCTGGCTGGAATGTATCATTCAACCAGAATCCTTCAAACACCAGGTGCATCTGGGTGTGGCGCTACAGGGGCTGGCCTTGCCACAGTGTCCCAGAAGCACTCTGGATCTGAAATGAGGACCACAGGACCCAGAGACCCCCCACTACAGATGGCAAGGAGGGCAAAGGTTTGGACAGAGGGAAGGGAGGCCTGTTTTGGCTTTTTGCAGATTGTGGACGGAAAGCAACACAGGCATGGGTATAAGGAGCAAAGTAAGACACCCTCTCCCTCATCAGATCCAGCGCACCCAATCAGCTCAGCTTTAAAATGGGTCCTGCACCCCGTGGAAACCAGGAGGGCCGGTCGTTCTGTCTACATCATTCCTGACAGCGCACACACATGCTTTAATTTCCTTCTTGAAAAGAAAAATCCATTATGTATTCCCACCCTCCTCTCCAGCTGCTCTGGCCCGTCTCCCTCCCCGCACGCAGAGCTCCTGAGTGAGTTGCTGAACTCACTGTCTGCACCTGTGTCCCTCACGGCCGCTTCAGATTCCTCGGGCTCTCACCCGCTGACCCCAGGACTGCTTTTGTCAAGAGTGAAACACTCAATAAAGTGGAAAGATTCTGAGGCCTCAACTTGCGTGAGCGGTGGAATCACACCTTCAGCCTTAAAACCAATCTCCTCCAACCCCCAGGGCCCCTTCTCTAGTCCAGGTCCCCCTCCCTCAGCTTCCCCAACCTCTGCAGGGCAGAGGCAGCTCACGAGCTGGGGCCGCCTCCCTTCTCGTTCTACTTGCTCTCCCTAGGCAGTGACACCTATCCTGTGGCTTAGACCCCATCCAAATATGGGCGGCTCCAAGAATTCAATCTCTAGCCCAGACCTGGCCCTTGAACCCCAGACTTAAATTCCACCTGGCTACTCAACCCTAGCATGTCCAAAACCAAACTGTCCTTCTGCCCTCCAAGCCCCTTTGTCAAGTTGGCCCAATCTCAGAAAATGAAACACTGCTTTCTGTTGATTACACCACAGCCCAGGCACCCTCATTTCTCTAATAGCCTCTGTCTGATCAATTCATAAAACCTGATGGTTCTTAGAGACATCCAGGACCTGCCCAATTCTCAACACCTCTGCTGCCACACCTTCAGCCAAGCACCATCACCCGTGACCTCCATGGCTGCAGGTGCCTCCTAACTGGCCTCTCTCAGATGGAGGTCAGCTCTTGGCCTTTCTGGGCTCACAATTCTCCAGGGCCTTCTCCTTGCACTCAGATAAAACGCAGAGTCTTCATCTCACCCTTCAAGGCTCTGCATAGCCCCCGCTGCCTCTGTCGCTCACCCACAGTCACGCCAGCTCCCTCTGCTTCTTGACGTCAAAAGCGCATCCACACACCCACGTACTGCCAATGTACATGCTTGCTCCCTCCACTCAGGCCCTGCTCAAACACCAATAGAGCCCTTTGCTGACCTCATGGAAGATGCCACTGCCTCCTTTGTCCCTGTCACTCCCTGAAGCTGTTATTCCTCCTGTTAACAGCATGAGCCCTGATCCTCGGCTCCATTGTTATTGCTGCGGTGCCAGCTATGAAGCAGGGGCTTTTCTCTGCCCCCTTGCTGTGTTCCCCAAGATCCATGATAGCACTGGCACTGGCGGGCACTTGACAGACATGTGCTGGATGCTGAGTCAACACATAAAGAACGGAACCCTGTGCCTGGAGGGCTGCATGGATACAGCCTCCTTGAAATTAACAAGTGACCACAAGGGATAAAGCTTAGCTGCAACTAACACATTCTCTCAGAGAATGCAAACACTGAGGAAGAGGCAGGCCGTGCTGACCTTGAATCCCCAGTGCCCATGTCAGACTCCCTCAGCTTCTGTCTTGGGTAGGCAAGATGGAGAGAAGCTATTTACCATCCACGCCCGAGCTTGTTAAGGAAACTACTTACTAGGTGCTCTCTCTGCTTCTCTACAGACCTTGACCTGTGAATTCAAGACCCGATCTCTGTGCATGCTGCCAGCAAGTCTGGGCAGCCTCTCCCCACAGTGAATTCCGCAGCAGCACCAGCTGCGGGTGTGTAAATCTATGTGCACGAACACACGGCCCTGCTTCTGTCTCTGCAGCCGCTAGTGCCATGCCCCAGACACAGGTGCACCCACTAATGGAAGCAGCCTGGGGTCACTCTGTCTAGCTGCCCTTTGCTGTGAACTGAGCAGCACTTCCAGGGACGGCAACAAAGAACAAAGGCCTGAGTAATGGCCAGCAGAGCCCTGAATGACGGGACACCCACGAAGATCCCCAGGCTCCCCTTCTGGTGAAGTGCTCCAGTGAGTTATCCACTCATTAAAGCTCAAGGCAACCTGCCATCTCAGCCTCATCTTACCCGGTGCCCCTGAGGGCCTGGTCTGGGAATAGCACTGCTTCCCAGTTCCTTCCCCAGTACAGGGTACAGGAGAGGGCTGGTCCTGGGCCAGGCCCTCAGCATCCTCCTTCATTTCTAGATTACAGCCCAGGGCCCAAAGGCTGCCCAGCCTGAGCTTTCCCCATCTCCAGGCTCGGGGCTTGTGCCTCCTTCTTATCATAGGGGCCTTTAATGATCCCGCTCTCACTGTGGGACCCCTTTCGAGAGGCTTTTTGCTGAGGATAGAGGAAGCATCACTCCTAGGGAGAGGCCCCCGACTGGCCCTGGAGGGCTGACAGACACCCACAAACGAACGAGGCAGAACAGAAAACCAACCTGCTTCCTGGAGCTGGAAGTCTTGCATTTACCTAACAGAGCTGGTGCTGCTTCCGTCTTTGGAAAGCGAGAATGGAAAGAACAGTGAGAAGGCAAAAAAAAGCAGAGCAAGCACATTCACTTGAAAAGGAATGAGCCATCCATGAGCAAGCAAGAGTCCAGAACCTCACGAAGCCAAACCCTGCCACACATCGAGCCACGGCCGGGCTGACCATAGACGGCTCCCAGGCTGCCGGCAGGAACTCAGCCACTCCCACCTATGCAGACAGCCAAGCCCACAACGCACAGAACCGCTGAGGGGAGCAGGAGACTTACAATGTCATCGGAGTCTCCACCTTGCATTGTGCCCACAATGCGTTTGCCGGGTCTTCCTGAGAACAACGAAAGCATGGAGAAGTCATAAAAACCTTGGAAAATAAAGCAGGAGATAGCATTCAAGATTTGTTTTCTGGCCAGGCGTGTTGACTCATGCCTATGATCCCAGTACTTTGGGAGGCTGAGACAGGAGGCCAGGAGTTTGAGGATAGCCTGGGTAACATAATGAAACCTCATCTCTACAAAAATTTTTTTAAAAAATTAGCAAGGTGTGGGGGTTCACACCTGTAGCCCCAGCTCCTCAGGAGGCGGAGGCTGCAGCGAGCGGAGATCACGCCACCGTACTGTAGTCTGGACAACAGAATGAGATTCTGTCTCTCACGCACACACACAAAAATGCAACTGTGCTCCAAACATTAACAGACGGTAGATAAGAAATACTTTTTTTTGGGAGGGAGTTTTGCTGTTGTTACCCAGTCTGGAGTGCAATGGAGCGATCTCGGCTCACTGCAACCTCCGCCTCCTGGGTTCAAGCAATTCTCCTGCCTCGGCCTCCCGAATAGCTGGGACTACAGGCACGTGCCACCATGCCCAGCTAATTTTTTGTATTTTTAGTAGAGACGGGGTTTCACCATGTTGACCAGGATGGTCTCAATCTCTTGACCTCGTGATCCACCCGCCTCGGCCTCCCAAAGTGCTGGGATTACAGGCTTGAGCCACCGCGCCCGGCCCAGAAATATTTTTAAAGGCAAATATAAGACAATTTTATAGTACTAAAACAAACATTTATAGAACCTTTGACCTAAGAATTTGCCTTTTAATGATGCAACCTAAAAATATGCAGACATACAGAAAGCTGTACATACAAGGAAACGAAGGGAAATAAATATCAATATGACGATGGACATCATGGGTACGGTTGTGCTAGGAATACGATACAGCCATTAAAAAGTAGGTAGCAGGCCGGGTGTGGTGGCTCATGCCTGTAATCCCAGCACTTTGGGAGGCTGAGGCAGGTGGATCACAAGGTAAGGAATTCAAGATTAGCCTGGCCGATACAATGAAACTCCATCTCTACTAAAAATACAAAAAATTAGCCGGGCATGGTAGTGGGTGCCTGTAAGTAATCCCAACTACTTGGGGGCTGAGGCAGGAGAATCGCTTGAACCCAGCAGACGGAGGTTGCAGTAAGCAGAGATCGCGGCACTGCACTCCAGCCAGGCAATAGTGCCAAGACTCCATCTCAAAAAAAAGAAAAAAAAGTCGGGGGTAGAGCTATATTTTACCAACAGAGGAAGAGTTCCAATCATATCTAATCTTTCAAAACAAAAGCAAGCTGCAGAACCAGACATATAGTCTAGGTGCAAAAAGGTACGTATTTTTCAGGTGATCTCTGTGTATGTGTGTGTGTGTATGCGTATGTATATGTACAGAAAGGTAATTTGTAAAGACACACCCACCCTGGCCACTAGCCATGAGCCCTCCCAGGTGGGTGTGGGACATGAGGAAGACCCCAGGAGAGCACTGACATTCGCTCTACAAATTTTGTTGCTTGAGTCTTTGTTTTTAACTTAGTTTTAAGAGACCCTCTGTGTTGTCCAGGCTGCAGTGCTGTGGCTATTCACAGACACAGTCATCATGCGCTGAAGCCCCGAGGCTGGGCTCAAACAGTCCTCCTGCCTCAGCCTCCCGAGGAGCTGGGAATAAGGTGTGTGCCACTGTGCTGAGCCTTGCTGCGTGAATGTTTTGCAATGAGTAAAGAAATTAGAACACTTTTTAAGGCAGAGATGCTCATTTAAGTGTCTTTCTGTATTAATTCTCAGCCTATTAGGTATATAATTGCAGTGAGAGCAGTCTAAGACCCAAAAAAGGGAGACTAAAGGGAGACTATAGTTCAGTGGCAGAGGCGATGTGTCCTGTGGCTCTCTGAGAAATACCAAGCCATGAATATGAACCATCCAGTCTCGGGATCATAGACAGGTAAGAATATTAGGGGCAAACCTGACCACTGAACAGTTCAAGAGCCATAAACAACAGGACAGGGTAAACCTGGAGCAAGAGCTGCTTCTAGGGGCCATTCATAGTGCGCCTGTGGGCCTCAACACTAAGCAGCCCTGCCCCAGTCCTGGCCAGGTGTTCTGTGAAACAGGGCATGGGGAGGAGGGCCAGCGAAAGACGCCGAGTTACCTTGCATGAGCACCTCCATGGCTGTCCGAGGCTTGGACAGCTGCCTCTCTTCCAACTCACTGTCGGATTCATCGTCCTCCTGGATGTCTATGTCCGGGTCATCATTACCTGGCAGGAACACAAGCAGGCCAAACAAAGGAGTGGCTTCATCCTCGCAATTGAACAGCTCTGCCTGAAGTAAAGTTTGTGTGCAAAAGTCATTTGTACTTCTAGCCTTTCTTTAGATATATTATATTTTATGAGACTCTCTGGGTTGGCCGGTAGATGCTTAGTGAAGACTTAATGTGGACAATGATGTGCTATGTTTTGTTTTGTTTTGTTTTTTTTTTTTTAATTTCCAAAGCAAGAAAAAAGTGGGTCAGACATGTTAGTTAGAAACAGCACTACAGTCTCCAGAACAGCAACGCCGACTCCTCCAATCCCAGCCTTCCGAAACCTGCATGGCTCCCTGGGTGCCAGGCAGTGAGGTCTTCACACATTCTCTGCAAAGACTTTTGGAAGATGATAGTTCTCAGGCTAATCGTGTGGAAGCCCTTGAAGGAAATCTGAGATCGTAAAAACTGAATACCCAGCTGTCAAGTGCTTGGTTAGTTTAGAGAAAAACCCATTCTCTGTCCAATGTTAGGCTGTATCACCAGAACTCGAGCTCCTAGATCGTGACGAAGATGAGGAAGTGGAGTCTGCTGAAAAGGTAACGAAAAAGCCTGGAGGCAGGAGGCCAGGGTAGAAATGGCACCAGTGGGGCTCCCCCGAGGAGGGTGATCCTGGTGACTGGCAGTGAAAGCTGGTGATGCCATGTTCTCCCCTGGGGAAAAGCCCATCATAAAGAGAGATTTTTCCAAAGTAATTTTCTACTTTTTTTTTTTTTGAGACAGAGTCTCACTCTGTCACCCAGGCCGGAGTGCAGTGGCACAATTTTGGCTCACTGCAACCTCACGCTCTTCTGGCTGACAAGGAATTGAAAAAGGGGAGGACAGCTTTGGCTAGACAGGCCCTTCGAATTCCCTAACCCTGTTCCTGGAGGATTTCCCAGCAGTCCCTATTCTTCCTAAACTTCCTGAAGTCCCTGTTCTTCCACCAGCGTTTCCTGAGATTCAGATGATAGTCATAGAACAGGGGCAAAACGACAGAGAAACAAGGAAATGGCAAAGAAAGAGAAACTGACAGAGAAAGAGCATGCATGGGAGGGAGCATGTGTGTGGGCCTGATGCCTCAAGTATGCTGTCCTCAACATGAGAGCAAATAGAGTATCTCACCAGGAAGAAAAGAGAGAGCAATCAGGAAGAGGAGATGGAACTTCGTGCAGCAAGGCCACCAATTCAGCAGGAAGATCCTGCCTGGCTGCTACTGGCCCCAACACAGACTTGACACTGAGTTCATGGATAAGAGAACCTGACTGGTCACAGAGAGCACTCCTTCCCAGAATCGAGGCCTCGTATGGACGTAACCCTGTGTCTCTCCAGGTGAGTGTCTTGCTGAGCCATTCTGGATTATGGGGAGCATCTCAGCAGTGTCGGGACCATCACGAGGCGAGTGGCTCCTCCGCCTGCACTGCATCCCAATGCTTGGTTTCCATCAGTCAGCCCCAAAATACGGAACACTACACACCTCTAGGACCAATTTTCTTACAGTTACGCATCATATATAATTCAAACTATCATGTAAACGGGGAAATGCTATCTTAATTGGCACAAGAATGAAACGTGCTTTAAATGCTGTATTTAAACCAGACTCTCGAGTGAATACAATGGCACCCGACACAGAAGCTGTGATAAAATTGCCTTTTGAAAATATTTTTGTTCCTATGGTCAACAATTTATTATACTTTTCAAAACTGAAGATATAAAGTGCTGTTACCACATTTAAAAAAAAAGCTGAAAAAACTTAAAGAAGAAAATACATATTTTAAAACATAGGTATATTTCAAGGCTGAAAAATGCTAGTCCAGAGTAAACCGCTCGTCTACAAAGCCCAGCCTTACTTCCACTCTTGAGCAGGCGCTTCTCTTCCTCCTTGAGCTTGTTCTGTATCAGGCAGAGAGTGTTTTTAGCCTCCTGTGGAAGAGGAAAAACAGACTCAGGAGAGATGGCCCTTTTCTGGACTGTTCTAATCTTCTTCACTCTTACACCTAACACTCTGCTGTGTAAGGACTGCTAAGTTTGTGCTACGGAACAAGAAAAGAGCTAAACTCAAGGAAGGGGAAGAGAATTAACACTGCCTGGGCAACTCCAGTGTCCCAAAACCTATTGCTCTCTCTCTCTCAGGTCACCTGGTGGCCTGGTGGACAGGGGCGCCCAGAGTGAAGCAGCTGCCTCATCCCCATGCTTCTCCAACTGCATGTCCCTGCTTCTGAGGAGAGTTAAATGCCCACACGTGTGCCTGGACGGCCTGGGGACACAGAACAGATACATCTAACTTTAGGAAAGAGACAGACATATAGATTTTATCATTTATCTTCCTTGCCCTGCCTTCAGATTTCAGCTCAAAAGATGCTAAATGATGGGACAGATCAAGATGGGAAGAAAAAGAAAGAAATGCTAATCTAATTCCTGGGGTGGTGACAGGAGAAGAAAATATCTCAGGTCATAAAATGTGGCCCTGATTATTATCAAGAAAGAGAATGGGGGCTGGGCATGCGGGTTACACCTGTAACCCCCGTGCTTTGGGAGGCCAAGGCAAGGAGTATCACTTGAGCCCAGGAGGTCTGAGGCTGCAGTGAGCTATGATCACAGCCTGTGCTCCAGACAGAGTAGCAGGCAACAGAGTGAGACCCTATCGAGAAAGAGACAGACAGAGATAGAGATAGAGATAGAGATAGAGATAGAGATAGAGATAGAGATAGAGATAGAGATAGAGATAGAGATAGAGGTAGACAGAGAGAGAGAGAGAGAGAGAGAGAGACACAGACATGGAGGGAGTGAGGGAGGGAGGGAGGGAGACAGACAGACATGGAGGGAGGGAGAAAACTGGCTTTTAAATAGTGTTATTGTATTTTAAATATTTTTACTAAACAGTAAAAATAAAGCACTGTGTTTCAGGCATGGAGTATCTCAAGGTAACAGGTATACTAAGGACAGAGGGTGAGAGTAAGCAGGAGAAAAAGAGACAGGTGGGGTAGAGGGGCTCCCTGGGAAGTTACCAAGGCCACCTGCCCACCATTCTGAGCCATACTGTTTGGTTTGTCCTCTGAACCCAGAGGTGGCCCCAGATGACACAACAAAACTGCCAAGATCTCTTTTCACTGCCCTTGACTGTTCTTTCCCAGGTACCCAAATGTTTAAAATGTTCTAACTCCAGACTCTTTCCAGTGCCCTCGAAATATGCCTGTCCTGTATCGTTTCTCCATGGCCTGCCTGTGGCACAGAGTAATGCCAGTAACGAGTTCCTCGCCAAGATGACGTGTCCCCACAGATGCATTAGGTACTCCCAGTTAGCCCACCTGGACGACAAAACAGCTCTGCCCAACTCAAATGTCCAGGCTGGTAAGAAGCCTAGCATAACCTTAAAACCAAACGCTGTCAAGGGCATGAGAAACGGAGGCTGCAGACCAATTTCATCATGAAAATGGAGTCTAAATGACCATTCTCAGGGTAAGCAGAAGTATCCCCAAGGGATAGGGCAATTCAAAAATTGATCACAACTTGGTTCAATTTCCTTTGCTCTAAATTCCACATTTATCAGCGCATGCTAGGGTATGGAATAGTCTTTCCTAAATGGCCTTACCCACTGGGATGAGAGGTACCTGTGAGACAGTTGGTCAGGTTCAAGGCCACATATATTTCCCACAATCAATCAATAAACTGCAATTCCTCTTTATAAAACAATCTCTAACGAGCTATTCTGGTGATTTAATTAACCAGGACTTGAAGATCTTCTTTTTGAGATGGTGTCTTGCTCCGTTGCCCAGGCTACAGTGCAGTGGTGCGATCTCGGCTCACTCACTGTAACCTCCGCCTCCCAGATTCAGTGATTCTCCTGCCTTAGCCTTCTGAATGACTAGGACTACAGGTGTGCCACTGCACCCAGCTAATTTTTGTATTTTTAGTAGAGATAGGGTTTCACCATCTTGGCCAGACTGGTCTCAAACTCCTAACCTCAAGTGACCTACCTGCCTCAGCCTCCCAAAGTGCTGGGATTATAGGCATGAGCCACCATGCTTGGCTTTTTTTTTTTTTTTTTTTTTTTTTTCTGAGACAGTCTTGCTCTGTCAACCAAGCTGGAGTACAGTGGCATGACCATGGCTCACTGCAATTTCAAATTCCCAGACTCAAGCAATCCTCCCATCTCAGCCTCCCAAGTAGCTGGGAACACAGGTATGCAACACCATGCCCAGCTAATTTCTTTTTTCTTCTCTGTAGAGACAGGGTCTCACTATGTTGCCTAAACTGGTCTTGGACTCCTGGGCTCCAGTGAGCCTCCTGCCTAAGTCTCTCAAAGTGCTGGTATTACAGGTTTAAGCCATCACACCTGGCCTTGAAAATCTTTATGTGAACTGACCGAGCAGGCTTTATTTTTTCATTTTTGGAGACGGAGTCTTGCTCTGTTGCCCAGGCTGGAGTGCAGTGGCACTATCTTGGCAACCTCCGGGTTCAAGCGATTCTCCTGCCTCAGCCTCCCGAGTAGCTGGGACTACAGGCACCCGCCACCATGCCCAGCTAATTTTTCTATTTCCAGTGGAGACAGGGTTTTACCATGTTGGCCAGGCTGGTCTCAACCTCCTGACCTCAAGTGATCCACTCACCTTGGCCTCCCGAAGCCAAGCAAGCTTTTAAATCTGCATTCGAGACCAGCTCGAGTGGGATCAGCTCAAAATTTGTGGGATCGGTGCAAAATAAAATGCACTCAGAAATTATTATGAATTTCAAGACGGTGACAACAGAGCCTGAAAGGAAGCAATGGCTCCTCTAGGGGCAGAGTATTACACAACCGCACAGTCCTCAAGTCAGCCCTGTCTGTACTTTTAACTGACTAAATCTGATGGAACACAGCAGCAAATATTTGACAACCCTGGAGTCCAAGAGGGTACACTACCAGCAAAACAAACGAATTACATGAGCAGTCCTCAGACTGACCCAGGAGAAGCAAAACGTACTGATATTTTTTTCACGATGATACTAACAGCATGACTTGTCACCGAGTACAGAGTAACACCCCAGAAGAAATGGCCAAACAGAGGACAGGCTCAGCTCACCTCAAATCTTTCTTGCTCCATCCTATGGTAGTCTTCAAGCTGTTTTTCCAGGTAAGTCAGATTTTGAAATTTCTCCAGATAAATGTCATACTGCTTTTGTAATTCCTCCTCAACCTTCTCATACTCATCCATAAAGCATGGCCTAAAACAAGCAAATGAAATAAAAAGGAAAAGGTGAATTCATATGCAGTAGTTTGAAATGGGTATTCACAGTGCCAAACTCCATGGTGGCTTTCTTTGGAAACCCTTAATTAGAGAAGGTCCTTCATTCTTGTAACTACTTAAAAATATTTTCCTTTCTTGTTTCTCCCTAAAAATGAAGATACTTGCTTTTTATCATAAGATGTGCTCTTTGTAAAAACCTGAAATAATCCTGAAAGTATGAAGAACGATGTAAAAATTACTGATAATCCCATCACCAGGTATAAGTGCTTGATATGACACATAACCTTCCAGACTTTTCTATGCATAAATATAGATAGGAATGCATTTTAAACAAAAATTAAATATACATAGAAGTTTTATAAACTTTTTTTCATTTCAATATAGCATAATGTCAAAAGAGTTCAAAATAATCAGGCCGGGCACAGCGGCTCACATCTGTAACCCTAGCACTTTGGGAGGCTGAGGTAGGAGGAGGCTTGCGCCCCGGAGTTCGAGGCTGCAGTGAGTGAGGATCCTCTGACCTAGCCATGGCACCCCAGCCCTCCAGCCTGCATGACACAGCCAGACCCCACCTCTAAAGACAAAAAGATCACATTCCAGACACATCTCTCAAAATCAACAAATTAAATATATATAATTATCTTATTTGGATATAATGTTCTACTGTAGGCCAGGCACGGTGGATCAGGCCTGTAATCCCAGCACTTTGGGAGGCGTAGGTGGGTGGATCACCTGAGGTCAGGAGCTTGAGACCAGCCTGGCCAATATGGTGAAACCTCATCTCTACTAAAAACACAAAAATTAGCTGAGTGTGGTGGCACATGCCTGTAATCCCTGCTACTCAGGACGCTGAGGCAGGAGAATCACTTGAATCCGAGAGGTGGAGGTTGTAGTGAGCTGAGACTGCACCACTGCACTCCAGCCTGGGGACAGAGCGAGACTCCATCTCAATAATAATAATAATAATAATAATAATAATAATAATGATGATGATGATGTTCTACTGTCAGGATATTACAATTTTTAAGCAGTCCTCTAAAAAGGGGACCACAGGCTGTTATAAATTAGAGCTGTTGTTTTGTTTTTTTTTGAGATAAGGTCTCACTTTGTCACCCAGGCTAGAGTACAGTGATGCAATCATGGCTCACTGCAGCACCGAATGCCTGGAATCAAGTGATCCTCCTGCCTCAGGCCCCCAAGTACCTGGAACTACAGACATATGCCATCATGGTCTGGCTGTTTTTTATATTTTTTTTGTAGATGCGGGGTTTAGCCACGTTGGCCAGGCTGGTCTCGAACTCGAGTTCAAGTGATCTGCCCACTTTGGCCTCTCAAAGTGCTGGGGTGACAGAGGTGAACCAGTGCCCAGCCTAAAAAGGTTTTTAAACAATAAAAAATTTTTTAAAAAGGCCAGGTACAGTGGTTCACACCTGTAATCTCAACATTTTGGGAGGTGGAGACGGGTGGATCACAAGGTCAGGAGTTCAAGATCAACCTGACCAAGATGGTGAAACCCCATCTCTACTAAAAATACAAACATTAGCCAGGTGTGGTGGTGGGCACCTGTAATCCCAGCTACCTGGGAGGCTGAGGCAGAGAACTGCTTGAATTTGGTAGGGGGAGGTTACAGTCAGCCAAGATTGTGCCACTGTACTCCAGCCTGGGCGACAGAGCGGGACTCCACCTCAAAAAAAAAAAAAAAAATCCAGACACTGTAATCCCAGCATTTCAGAAGGCTGAGGTGAGCAGACCACCTGCGGTCAGGAGTTCGAGACCAGCCTGGCAAACATGGCGAAACCACACCTCCAGTAAAAATACACAAATTAGCTGAGCATGGTGGTGTATGCCTGTAATCCCAGCTACTCGGGAGGCTGAGGCAGGAGAACTGCTTGAACCTGGGAGGCGGAGGTTCTTAGCAGTGAGCTGAGATCATGTCACTGCACTCCAGCCTGAGCAACAAGAAAGAAACTCTGTCTCAGAAAACAAAAAACATAAAAATCTATTGCAACTGGTTTGGTGAACTTTTTTTTTCTTATTATTGACCTTAAAGGGAAAACTCTAGTCTTTTAAAAATATAAGCAGATAAACTAAGAAATAATTATAATCTTTTGAACTAGAGCAAAACAAAGAGACTTGTCTGTTAAAAGGATTTGTGGCTTAACAAAAATGAATTGACACTTTAAAGGTGGAATGTGTCAACCAGAAATATCTATCTGGCGGCACTGACTTCTTTTTTTGTCTTCTTCCGTTAAGGCTTTAGAGGTAAAGCACTGGTTTCAGGAGGGAAGGGCCTGGGCCTTGCACTGGGCGGGGAGGAGCCTGGCTGCTCCCTGTGGTTGCTGTCGCTGCTTCCAGATGCTGGCTCTCCACAGACCTCAGGATAGTGGCCAGGGTGGAGCCAGCCACCAACATCCAAATAGGCAAAACACATTCAAGCAGAGGAGGCAGCTGGGAAGAAGGAGGAGCCAAGAGAGAAAGAAAAATACAGGGAGAATGAAAAGGGAGAAAGAGCAGCAGCATGGGGGGGGGCGGGGGAGACAAAGACACAGCAAGGGAAAGAGGCACAGAACGAGGAAGAGAAGAGAGAGAGAACCCCTGAAACTCAAGGAACACACGGAAGAGGTGCCACTATTCTCCATCGGTATTCCTGGGAGATATATTTCCAATGAGCGAAAGTAGGAAGAAAGATGAATTACTGACTGATGAAGAATGATCAAGGTTTAAATCAAGTCTCAAATCTATGCCAAAAAAAAGGCAGGGTATGTTTCTGTTTCTATCTAATTTACGGCAAGATCTGAGGAGACCAAGTCTGGATTTCCCCGTCTGGATTCGTTTATTCTGCCTTGAGTTCCAAGAAGCTGTAAAAGCTTAAAGGGCAGTGCAAGCATTAAGTGGCTCTCCAGACATATTGCAGTAAAGAGAATGAGTTTAGCCATCTGCTTGTCACGACAGGCAACACATGTACATTCTGAGATGAAGATACCCTTACGTAAGGCTTTTTTCACCAGCTGAGAAGAGTTAAGATCACATTCTATCCTCTTAGTCATTGTTCTAACATTTTTTTTCTTTAGGAGTCAGGGGCAGCCAGGCGCAGTGGCTCACGCCTATAATCCCAGCACTTTGGGAGGCCGAGGCAGGTGGATCACGAGGTCAAGAGATTGAGACCATCCTGGTCAACAAGGTGAAACCCCGTCTCTACTAAAAATACAAAAATTAGCTGGGCATGGTGGTGCGTGCCTGTAGTCCCAGTTACTCGGGAGGCTGAGGCAGGAGAATTGCTTGAACCCAGAAGGCGGAGGTTGCAGAGAGCCGAGATTGTGCCATTGCACTCCAGTCTGGGTAACAAGAGCGAAACTGTCTCAAAAAAATCAGGGGCTCATTCTGTTGCTCAGGCGGGAGTGCAGTGATGCGATCATAACTCACAGCACCCTCAACCTCCTGGGCTCAAGCAATCCTCCTGCCTCAGCCTCCCAAGTAGGTGGGACTACAGGTGTGTATCACCATACCTAGCAAATTTTTAAAAATTTTTAGAGATGGGGTTTTATTATGCTGCCCAGGCTGGTCTCAAACCCCTGGGGTCAAAAGCAGCTCCCACCCCATTCTCACAAGCAGCTGAGATTTCAGACATGAGCCACAATGCCCAGTTTGTTTTACCTTTCTGGGACATCTTTCTCTTCATTCTCCAAGTGTTCATACCTACCTGACACTCTGCAGAGTCTCCAGTCGCTTCCGATTTCTTTCCAGTTCTAATTTTCTCTTTTCAATTTTGGATTCTAAATTAGCTTCATCAGAGGCCACATTATTGAGCAGGTCTTTAGTCTTCTGAACCTGTGTCTATATTTAACAGGAAATAATGACACAATGTGGCAATAAAAACAGTAGAAGAATTTTGGAACTTTTCAGGCATAGCAACATTATGCTGACCAAACACAAGAGCAAACAAAGCAGACACTTCCCCAAGCAACGACTCATTTAACCCACTAGTTCCAGGGAGAATGTCACAAAGTCCAGAAAAAGTTATCTTTTCTTCCCCACCCGCATGAAAAGCAGGTGTTTCTGCCGAGGGAAAGAAGTGAAGATGGAAAGAAGAGCGTCCTGGTCAAGGTAGAGAGGACTGCAGTCTTTTGTCTGACTCGCTTGGCTAGAAAGAGGTACACGTAACTCTGGACAGTCAGTCTGCCCTATCATTCAGGCCGTGCCCCTAGTTGTAAACACCCGAGTCACAGAATACAGGCACACCAAGCACTGCTCTACAAGGAAGGGAGAGAAAGCAACAGCTGGCCTCAGCCCTAACCCACCAGCTGCTGGCATTTAGAGAGGGTCCCTCTTCCCTCTTCCTGGCAACAGAAACTTGACTACAGGCTGAAAAAAAAGGAGACACCACTCTGAAGTCAGTACAAAAGCAGCTCCTGCGTGGCACTGGCCACACTGGTGTGTGCCAGCTCCGGAAGGGGCCCAGGGCAACAGTCAGACAGAGGCCCTTAGGCAACAGAGAAGGGAAAGGGGACACGAGACCACTGACAGTGACACAAGTCTCTCTATCCTCTTCTAAGAGAAGGTTCATCTGAAGCAGGTAGAGTCACAGGTAGCGCAGTCTTCACATGCGCCTTGTCTGATGTCTTGGTTCAGAGCTCCGATCTCTTCCATGAGAAATCTGGACTGCCACCCAGCTGAGCATGGAACTGCCTCGCCAGGTTCTGGCTTGCCAGCCCTGCATTAAGTTCCTAATGGCCAAGATGGGGCACTTTGCCTATGGGTAGCATCCCATAAAGGGGTTACTCACTGTTTTCCTGCAGGTCTCTGAAAAGCCATGGGCTCCACAGAGAAAAGGCCTAAGAAGCCCAGACACTCTCCATGATTCTCAGAGATGATGTGTTTTGGAAGCAGCCGCTGTTATTGACAATGCATTTATGGTCTGATGTTTTTGGTCTAAGTACACTAACCATTTCTAAGATACTTTCATTAAAATAATCATATCCTTATCCATTTGCTGCAAGTGCCTTAAAGCCCCCAGGAGAAATGTGAGTTCACCCTCACAGGAAGAAAGGTGGGTCTCCTTTCTGAATGACTTGAGTTAATAGCAACTATTTTCCTGAACCAAAGTCAGATCAAAACCTAGTGAATTCATCTGACTTAAACATACCTGTTTCTCAAACAAGAAACATCTAAGTCCAAAACAGCTGTGTAAACAATCTTCCCTGGTTTCTGAAATAAACGACCTGTACTTCCTAACCCCCTTTAAGTGCCCATGTTGTTGTTTTTGTTTTGTTTTTAGAATGATCAGACATCACAGACATTTTCCAACAATGCAAGGTGTCTTACGAGATACCTGTAAGAAATGAACCCGCCCTCTCTTGGGTGTTCTACTTTTAACATATTAGTGCTAAGGGCAGATTCGTGTTGTGTTCACTTGATTCAGTTAGAACACTGGCAAGCATAAGAATGTAACTTTTAAAAAATTTTTAAATTTAGAAACAATCTAAAATTTACAGAAAAGCTGTTGTAAAACACAGAGCGCTTTTCCCCAACCTCGGTGACAGGAAGTTGCCGACCAGATGTTCCAACACCCTGAATACGTGACTGTATATTTCCTACAAATAAGGACTTTCTCCCACATCCCCACGACACAATCAAAACAGGAAGCCGGCACTGACACACTAGCACCATCTAACCCCGGCCCCATTCCACTGTCCCCACTTGTCCTTGTGAGGTCCCAACAGCAGACAGGAGCCACCTATGTGTCCAGTTGTCACATCTCCACAGCCCCGCTCAGTGTGAAATGCCCCTCAGCTTTCCTTGACTTTAGGGGCTCTTCCCTCTGGGAGCGTCCAGGCTGGTTAATCTGCAGGATGCCGCTGAGTCCGGCACTGTCTCATTACGGTCAGGTATGCATCGTTGGCAGGAATACTCACGAGTGACCACATGGTAACGGGCATGCACGATTTTGATTTGTTCTGGAAATGACGTTCACTTTGATCACGTTATTAAGGGGGTAACTGGCAGGCTTCTCCCTGAGACTCGACTCTTTTCCCCTCTGTAATTAATAAGTATTCTGTGGGCCAGGCATGGTGGCTCATGACTGTAATCCCAGCACTTCAGGAGGCCAAGGCAGGAAGATCACCTGAAGTCAGGAGTTTGAGACCAGCCTGGCCAAACATGGTGGAAAAAAAAAAAAAAAATTAGCTGGGTGATGCACGCCTGTAATCCCAGCTACTCGGGAGGCTGAGGCACGAGAATGGCTTGTACCCAGGAGACAGAGATTGCAGTGAGCTGAGATGGCACCACTGTACTCCAGCCTGGGTGACAGAGTGAAACATCATCTCAAAAATAAACAAACAAATAAATAAATAAAATGAAAGTACAATAATGAGCCGGTTATGGTGGTGTGCGCCAATAATCCCAGCTACTCAGGAGGCTGCGGCGCGAGAATCACTTGAACCTGGGAGGCAGAGGTTGCAGTGAGCTGAGGTTGTGCCACTGGACTCCAACCTGGGCAACAGAGCGAGACTCTGTCTCAAAACAAAAGGAAAAAAAAAGCACTTTGTGGAAAGCTACGTTGAAACTGCATGAGATGACCTGCTCCTCTCAGCTTTCGATACTCAGGTATTTTTTCATGCCAGTGAGAACCCATGGTTTCCTATTTCGTTCTATTGTACCACAAAATTAATTACTCTAACTTATTTAATTTGATGCTTGGAAAGCCTATGATTTTTAGAATTCTGTACAACTCACAGCAAATTCTTGTTTTATGCCTACTCCAAATTTACATAGGGGCCCCTGCCGTCTGTGTCTACTGAGTGAAATAAATCACCGATGATGACTGAAGGTCTATTGTGGATCAGAGACGAGGCTCGATATGCCCTGTGGTGATTAATGTTTCTAAGAACCCCATAGAGTTGGCCTTGCAGTTCTTACCATTTTGCAGATGAGGAAAGAGAGGCACAGAGAGGTTAAGTAACTTGCCTAAGATCACAGGGCGGAATTCAAACCCAAGCAATCTGAGTCGAGGGTCATCCTCACCATTTGCCTTCCCCCTGACTGCTTCTATATGAGAGAGGAACTGACGTGGGTGAGCAGCAAACAGTGGTGATCCATCTACTTATTACAGGGCTGTTTAGCATTTAGAAAACCCTGAAATCATTTAAATACTAATCAGTGAGGAATTGGGTAAACAAAATAAAACAGAGCATTATTTATTAAAATTATTGAAGAATTAAAAATTATCAAATTACTGAAACTGATGAATTTTTTTTTTTTTTTAAGACGGAGTTTCCCTCTTGTTACCCAGGCTGGAGTGCAATGGCACGATCTCGGCTCACTGCAACCTCTGCCTCCTGGGTTCAAGCAATTCTCCTGCCTCAGCCTTCCAAATAGCTGGGACTACAGGCACGTGCCACCATGCCCAGCTAATTTTTTGTATTTTTAGTAGAGAAGGGGTTTCACCATGTTGACCAGGACGGTCTCGATCTCTTGACCTCATGATCCTCCCTCCTCGGCCTCCTAAAGTGCTGGGATTACAGGCGTGAGCCACCGCGCCCGGCGAAACTGATGAATTTTTAATAACATGAAAAGCCATTCTTATTTATAACGCGGGGGAAAAAACGATAGTAAGTGACCTAGGTCGGCTCGAATGTCCTCTACATTTTTCATCTCTAACACATCCCTGTTCCTAAGCTTGTTCTGTCTTGTACGAGCAAGCAAGCAGTATTTTTGAGTCCCAGGCACAGAAGGCATCATATAAAGGCAAAGTCATCTCACCGAAACCTCCTTTATCGCGATTCTCATCACTCTTTCAGTCTCGTTTATTTCCAAAGGTCTGGCAATGGCTTCTGTCCTCATTTCCTGGGGGAAACAGTAAAATCATTTACACATATTTTCAGAAAAGGAGTTCTCAAAACCAATATTCCTAGATCTAGATGTGCCTTATGGACTGATTATCCAAAGTTTCATTACAATGTGGATCTCTGATGCAAAAACACTTCCACCATCACCTCCTATAATGTCTTCCGTTATCTGAGTGCCCATCCAGCGTCTCTCCAGAGCTCAGGGGCTACTTTTCAGCCAGAGGCCCCATGTGCCCCCAACTCTATGAGCAAATCTGAACTTAGCATCCATTATCTTTTCTCTGAAATGTGCTGCTGCTATTTTTTAAATAGATTTAGGGTCTCACTCTTGCCCAGGTTGGTCTCAAACTCCTGGGCTCAAGTGATCCACCTTCCTTGGCCTCCCAAACTGCTAGGATCACAGGCATGAACCACTGTGCCTGGCCCCAAATTTGCTTCTTTACCTGATTCTGTCCAGGTGACCCCCAAACTAAGCACAGTTCAACTTGCTGTCGGGATCCCCTGCCATCCTCTGTAACCTTTCTTAGGATGAAGTCCCTCTCAGTTGCCTATCACTAACAAACAACTGGAAAGCACAATTACCATGGCCCTGCCCCTAGCATGAACCATTAACCAATCAAGGGAGGCGTGTGACTATCATATCAGTGCTGAAAACTTCTGAGACGTGGGATTTTAATGTGGACGTATTTATGAGGTTTTCTATAGACAATGTCCGTGTGACCCCAAAATTCCTTACTGGGGGAATTCCTTGTATTGAATTCAATTCCTTGTATTGAAACTCTAACCCACAATGTGATGATGTTAGGAGGTGAGTCCTTTAGTGCATGATTAGCTCACAAGGGTGGCACCCTCAGGAGCGGGATTAGTGACCTCATTAGAGAAATCCCAGGGAGATCCCTCACTCCTGCTGCCATGTGAGGACTCAGCAACAAGGCTCCATCTGTGGGGAACAAGCCCTTGTCACACACCAAATCTGCTAGTGCTTTCATCTAGAATTTCCCAGTCTCCAGAACTGTGAGAAACAAATGTCTGTTATTTACAAGTCACTCCGCTTATTGCGTTTTGTTACGGCAGCCTGAGTAGAGTAAGACGAGGTCCCTGGAGCACCGCGTCAACATTTGTCTTGTGCTCCCTCCCTTTCTTCTATGGTGCATGTGTGCACGCTGGTGGGAACAGGCGAGGGCAGGGTGAGGACTTAGTCAAGGAGGCAGAGCTCATGCTTTGCCTGTGGCTGGTGCTGCTCCTCAGTACAGGTTTACCGAGTGAAAGGAAAACAAACATTGGCCAGGGCCTCTTCCTTGGATCATGACCACACGCAGAATTTGAAATGTACTATATTCAGGGTCTCACGATTTCTTCGGGAACAGTTCAGCCACTGGTTACTTCATCATTCTTTACAGGACGGTGTTGAAAGAGTCCCCGTGGGATGGAAGCGAAGTCTCACAATAATGCCACAACTGCAGTGGCAATCAGCAAGTGGCCAGCTCCTGTCTCTGGGTCTCTTAAGTACAGGTACAGACAAACACACACCACTGCACTACAAACAGAACAAAGGGAAAGCCTGGAGTTGCCTTACTCGTCATCTGAATTAGCGAGCAGATGTCAGTGGCAGTTTTGTTCTGCCAATCACACTTTACCAGGTGGCAACTGCCAAGTCGATACATGATAAGCAGGGATAGTGACCTGGCACCCAAGTCCCTCTTCCCCAGACTTCCACTTCCAGTTTGCTCCCAGGGTATGCCACAACACAGACAAGGCAGTGAGAGAGAGAAGCCATGGCTGGCATTCCTGATGGGAAGTGAATGAAAGAAATTCACTTAATATTAAAGCATTAGACTGAGCATGTAAGCTTCAAATGCCATAAATCTTTATAGGTAAGGATTAAACACTACTCCACTCTAGGCCTGGAGCAGTGGCTCATGCCTGTAATCCCAGCACTTTGGGAGGCTAAGGCAGGCGGATCACTTGAAATCACGAGTTTGGGACCAGCCCGACCAACATGATGAAACCTCATCTCCATTAAAAATTCAAAAATCAGGCCAGGCGCGGTGGCTCACGCCTGTAATCCCAGCACTTTGGGAGGCCAAGGCGGGTGGATCACGAGGTCAAGAGATTGAGACCATCCTGGTCAACATGGTGAAACCCCTTCTCTACTAAAAATACAAAAAATTAGCTGGGCGTGGTGGTGCGTGCCTGTAATCCCAGCTACCCAGGAGGCTGAGGCAGGAGAATTGCCTGAACCCAGGAGGCGGAGGTTGCGGCGAGCCAAGATCACGCCATTGCACTCCATCCTGGGTAAAAAGAGCAAAATTCCGTCTCAAAAAAATAAACAAATAAAAATGATTCAAAAATCAGCCAGGCATGGCAACATGCACCTGTAATTCCAGCTACTCAGGAGGCTGAGGCAGAAGAATCAGCCAAACCTGGGAGGCGGAGGTTCCAGTGAGCCAGGATCGAGCTACTACACTCCAGCCTGGGCAACAGAGCAAGACTCTGTCTCAAAAAAAATAACAAAATAAAAAATAAACACTACTCCACTCGTAAATAGCTGCTTAAATGTAGGTGATGGCACGTACTTCTTGGCTGCCATTGGCTGGAATAAGGATCGCAAATCAAACCAGTCTCCACTGCAACATCAACTTCAGCTAACTGGAAGTGACACCAGGATCGCTGGTCTCAAACTCTGCTGTTAGAATCATCTAGGAACATCTGAAAACTCCCCGTGCCCAGGTCACATTCCGTAAGGAGGACCTCAGAGTTAAAGCCAGGTTTCAGGAGTCTTTAGAGATCCGAGGTCTCTAAAGACTGGTCGCAGCAAGGTCTGGGAACTGCAAGCTCCAAAGAGACTTTCTGAGAAGAATGCTGAGGCAGAGTACACCAGAAGAAAGCATCGTGGTCAATAAAGTGTGCCAGTGGCCACAAGGGCAGCTTCATCGCATGCCATGTACCTGCCGTTCCTGAACAAGAAGTTAAAAGTAGACCAGTGCCCACCAGAAGCAGGAAGGGCAGCTAACATCCTGTATCACCTTTCCACACGTTAGCTCATTCAACCAGGTGTATTTCATTAAATGACAACTGAAAAGGGAGAAACAGAATTGAAAAAGAAAACCCTGAAGAGAAAATCTGCATCGTTATGGGAGTACTGCAATGCTTACCCTCAACTCTACTTCCATGCCGAGCAAGTCATACAGAGATGCTCCTTTGGAGGTGATTTCAGATGCAAGCTGCCTGGCTGCCTTCAAATCTGCAATCTGGAAGGAAAATACCAAAAACAGACACCTCAGCAACAGATTTTTTTTTTTTGAGACAGAGTCTCACTCTGTCACCAGACGCCAGGCTGGAGTGCAGTGGCGCAGTTTCAGCTCACTGCTACGTCTGCCTCCTGGGTTCAGGCAATTCTCCTGCCTCAGCCTCCCGAGTAGCTGGGACTATAGGCGCATGCCACCATGCCCAGCTAATTTTTTTATTTTTAGTAGAGATGGGGTTTCACCATGTTCACCAGGATGGTCTCGATCTCTTGACCTCGTGATCTGCCTGCCTTGGCCTCCCAGTCCTGAGATTACAGGCGTGAGCCACTGCGCCCGGCCAGCAACAGATTTTTTATTTTATTTTTTATTTTTATTTATTTATTGATTTATTTTTTTGAGACGGAGTTTCGCTCTTGTTACCCAGGCTGGAGTGCAATCGCTCGATCTCGGCTCACCGCAACCTCCGCCTCCTGGGTTCAGGCAATTCTCCTGCCTCAGCCTCCTGAGTAGCTGGGATTACAGGCACGCGCCACCATACCCAGCTAATTTTTTTTTGTATTTTTAGTAGAGATGGGGTTTCACCATGTTGACCAGGATGGTCTCGATCTCTTGACCTTGTGATCCACCCGCCTCGGCCTCCCAAAGTGCTGGGATTACAGGCGTGAGCCACCGCGCCCGGCTCAGATTTTTTAAAATAGTGACAGGGTCTTGCTATGTTGCCCCAGCTGCTCTCTAACTCCTGGCCTCAAGTGACCCTCCTACCTCAGCTTCCCAAAGTGTTGGGATCATAGGCATGAGCCGCCATGTTCAGCCACAGTTTTTTTTTTTTTTGAGATGGACTCTTGTTCTGTCACCCAGTCTGGAGTGCAGTGGCGCAATCTCAGCTCGTTGCAACTTCCACCTCCTGAGTTTAAGCCATTCTCCTGCCTCAGCCTCCCAAGTAGCTAGGATTATAGGCGCCCGCCACTGTGCCCAGCTAATTTTTGTATTTTAGTAGAGACAGGGTTTCACCACCTTGGCCAGGCTGGTCTCGAACTCCTGACCTCGTGATCCATCTGCCTAAACCTCCCAAAGCGCTGGGATTACAGACGTGAGCGACCACGCCCAGCCCAGTCACAGATTTTTAACAGACGTTCAACCACCAGCCTGTTCATGTCAGCTTCTACCTTTGGTCGGGACATGTGACCACAAACATGTGCTTCCCCAGTGACATGCTCACAGGCTGCAGGACACATGCCCAGGAAGTGATCATCTAAGTACTAATGAGACCAATTCCAGGATGCCTGGGTCTCTCCGAAAAACCTAATGTCAAGTCAAACCGCAGCCCCAACCAGGAGGCATAACTGGGAGAAAGCTGACAAGCTTCTTACCTGGACTGTGTGCCTGACAGCAGAGGAGTGACCACAGGAAGGGGCAGCCTGAGGGACACACATGCTCCTGCAGCAGCCTGACGGCCTGTGTTTCGTTCTCCCACATCCTCCTTCTCTGCCTCAGACTTTCCTCCACAGGCCTGGAGAGGCTTCAGTGGGGTAGCGCCCACTAAGGACTTACAAGGGTTCTGGGCTCCACAGAGGGGGCAGCTGTTGCCAGGAAGGCGGTGATAACCACGATGAGGACTTAGCACCGAACCCTTCGCACAGGCTTCTTTCTTAGGATGCGCGTGTCACCCCCTCTTCCTGGAATATGCTAACTCTCCTAAGGAGGGCGAACATAAACGTCTCCCTGCTCTGCTCCCTCTCCCTCTCTCCTGGACAACTCTAATCCCCACCTTCTGGCTCTCACTTTCAACCCACCAGCAACAACTCTCCCTCTTCACTTGCAGCTGATGGCTTGCTTCCCTCCTTGGTCCTCCAGGATCCAGCTTGCTCTGGCTCTAGCTGCTTTTCTTCCCTTCCTGGCAGCACATCCCCAAACTTCTTTGCAGGAGTCTGTCACCTTCCCTGCTTCTCAACAGTGGAGTGAGTCGGAGTTCCATTCCTGGACCCCCTTTCTTTTCTGCTGGCTCTGCTCCTATCCTCAAGGCTTTCATGCCATCTGTGTGCTGATGCCTCCCCACCTCCAGCCTGGGCTCTCCCTGGGCTCCAGTCTCACACTCCAGCTACCTGAGCACCAACGCCACCTGCACAGCCAACAGGTGTGGCAAATGAAGCATGTCCAGAACCTTCTCCGCTTCAGTACACAGCAACTTCGTCCTGCCAGAGGCTCACACCAAAAACTTCAGAGCAGTGATGTCTAATATAGTAACCAATAGCCACTAGCCATTTTCACTTAAATTATTTAAACATTTTTAAAAAACGCAGATCTCAACTCAGTTCCTCAGTTGTGCTCGCCACATGTGGCCAGTGGCTCTTGCAGAGTATAACACAGAGGTGGAACACACCCACCAGCTCAGCAAGCTCTGCCGCATGGCTGCCCCAAGACCTTGCCTGTAGCACCTGGCTTACTCTCAACCCATGCATCATCCTGTGAGATCCACCACCAAAATATGCCCCAATTTCTAGACACTTCTGCTGAAGAGTGTCGTTCCTGGTTAAAAAATCCACGGCTGGCCATGGTGGCTCACACCTGTAATCCTAACACTTTGGGAGGCCAGGGCGGATAGATCACTTGAGGTCAAGAGTTCAAAACCAGCTTGGCCACCATGGTGAAACCCTGTCTCTACTAAAAAAAAAAAAAAAAAAAAAATACAAAAAATTAGCTGGGCACTTGGGAGGCTGAGGCACAAGAATCACTTGAACCTGGGAGGCAGAGTTTGCAGTGAGCTGGGATTGTGCCACTACACTCCAGCTTGGGCGACAGAGTGAGACTCCATCTCAAAAAAATAAAAAATAATAAAAATAAAAACCCCCGTGTGAGGGCAGGTGTGGTGGCTCATGCCTATAATCCCAGCACTTGGGGAGGCTGAGGCAGGCAGATCCCCTGAGGTCAGGAGTTTGAGACTAGCTGACTAACACGATGAAACCCCGTCTCTACTAAAAAAAGAAAAATACAAAAAATTAGCTGGGCGTGGTGGTGCGCACTTGTAATCCCAGCTACTCAGGAGGCTGAGGCAGGAGAATCTCTTGAACCCAGGAGGCAGAGACACAGGGAGCCAAGATCGTGCCATTGTATTACAGCCTGGGCAACGAGTGAAACTCTATCTTAAAAAAAAAAAAAACCAAACCGAGAACGATCCAAGATGGCCGATCGCTAACATCCCGGGATTGCAGCTCTCAGGGAAGGCGCGGAGAACTAGAGGACGCCACACTTTCAGACAAAGTCTGGTCGCTCACGGAGCAGAAGACCCCCAGTGGTGGAAACACACGGGTCGCCAGCGCGACTCTCGTGGTCGCCGCAGCGGTTCCGCCGGCACCTTGGCGCTGCAGCTCTCGGAGCAGAGTAAACGGGAATGCTTCCCCTTCTGACCGAGGTTTGGAGCCCCGGAAAGGCAGAGTCGCCTACTACGGACACAAGAAGGAAGCCAGACAGGAGAATCCTGGGCAGAAAAGCACCATCAGTTTTAACGCCGCTGCTCTGGCCCTGGGAACTAACAACCTGGACGTCCACTCAAGAGACCTAATCTGAAAGTTGGTAATTTCAAAGACGGGAAGAAACCAGCGTAAAAAAGCTGAGAATACTCAAAGTCAGAACGCCTCTCCCTCTAAAGATGATCACAGCTCCACATCAACAATGGAACAAGGCTTGATGGAGAACGAGCGCCTCCTGATGACAGAATCACTATTCAAGGAATGGATAATAACAAACTTCGGTGAGTTAAAAGAACATGTTGTAGCCCAACGTAAAGAAACTAGGAACTTTGAAAAAAGGTTTGATGAAATCCTATTGAGAATAGACAACTTAGAGAGGAGTATGAGTGAATTAATGGAACTGAAGAACACAATACAGGAACTCCAAGAAGTATGCACAGGTTTAAACACTCGAATTGTTCAAGCAGAAGAAGGGATATCAGAGGTCAAAGTCCAACTTAATGAAATAAAACGCGAAGAAATGATTAGAGAAAAAAGGATAAAAAGGAATGAGCAAAGTCTCCAAGAAATGTGGGACTATGTGAAAAGACCAAATTTACGTTTGATAGGTGTACCTGAATGTGACGGAGAGAACGAATCCAAGCTGGAAAATACCCTTCAGGATATTATTCAGGAAAATTTTCCTAAACTAGCAAAGCAGGTCAACATTCAACCCCAGGTAATACAGAGAACACCACAAAGATATTCCTCAAGAAGACCAACCCCAAGGCACATAATCGTTAGATTCACCAGGGTTGAAACGAAGGAGAGGATACTAAGGGCAGCCAGAGAGAACGGTCGGATAACCCACAAAGGCAAGCTTATCAGACTTACAGCAGATCTCTCAGCAGAAACTCTACAAGCCAGAAGAGAGTGGGGGCCAATATTCAACATTCTCAAAGAACAGAACCTTCAGCCCAGAATTTCATATCCAGCCAAACTAAGCTTCACAACTGAAGGAAAAATAAAATCTTTTATGAACAAGCAAGAACTCAGAGATTTTATTACCACCAGGCCTGCTTTACAAGAGCTTCTGAAAGAAGCATTACACACAGAAAGAAACAACCAGTATTAGCCTTTCTAAAAATACACCAAAAAGTAAAGAGCACCAACATAAAGAAGAATTTACACCAAAAAATGGATAAAACAGCCAGTCAACATCAAATGACAGTAACCCTAAATTTAAATTGACTAAATTCCCAATCAAAAGACACAGCCAAAACCCAACGGCATGTTACATCCAGACCTGTTTCACATGCAAGGATACACAAAGACTCAAAACAAAGGGATGGAGAAAGATTTACCAACCAAATGGAGAGCAAAAATAAATAATAAATAAATAAAAAGCAGGAGTTGCAATTCTTGTATCGGATAAAATAGATTTTAAAGCAACAAAGATATAGTGGTAAAAGGATCAATGCAACAACAAGAGCTAACAATCCTAACACCCAGATAGGAGACTTAGATTCAATGAGACAGAAAATTAATAAGGATATCAAGGACTCGAACTCAGATCCAGAACAAGTAAACTTAATAAATATTTATAGAGCTCTCCACTTCAAATACACAAAATATACATTCTTGTCAATACCACATCACACCTACCCATTAGTTTAAATAAAACATTGATTGGCCATTATTAATACCCAATTTTTTTCAAAATAAAGCAATATTTCCATTTACTCTCCCTCTTTCTCTTCCTCTTTCTTCCTCTCCTTTACTTATTTTTTTTTTTCTTTCCTTCTCTCAAAAAAAAAAAGAAATCAACTTGTAAACCTCTAGATCCAGGTCGGCAATGTCTCTTTCATTGCTTGATTTCCTTCCTTCCCTTCCCTCCCTCCCTCCCTCCCTCCCCACTTCCTCCCTTCCTTCCTTCCTTCATCCCTTCCTTCCTCCCTACCGTCCTTCTTTCCTTCCTTCCTGCCTTCCTCCCCCCCCCAAAAAAAAAAAAACCAAACCAAGACAAAAAACCCATGTGTGACTTTTCAAGCCTGACTATAGACAATGACAAGGCCTCACCCAGCAGGCCTCACCGGGGAAGCTTCCCTCCCTGCACCAGACTCGGGACTCAGCCAGTGCACTGTGGTCTTAGGCACTCTGCGTGCCCTTGCTCTTAGGTGCATTCCCAGGCCTGGGCCTTCATTCCTAGGTCTCCTTCCCTGAGACCTTGGGTACAGGTCCTCCTCAGGCACCTCTGCTGAGGCCTCCTAATGAGGGGCAGGAGGGAGGCCTTGGAAACGCCTGCCCCACTGACTCAGTTCTCGGTCCATTACCATTCCTAGCCTTTCCTCCCCGCCCCACAGAGTCCACAGAACTGCAGAAGCCGTCTGCTGGGGGCTGCCTCAACACTGAGACGACCCCACCTGCATGAATCCACCTGGCCCCTGACCTGTGTGCCGATCCATAGGAGAATATGGCACAGGAGGAATCAGGGCCTGCTCTGGTTTAAGAGTCCTGCTTATATTAACGCACTGCAGTGAGAGAATAACGGCTTAACCTTCATTTCTGGCTTGCTGCTGTGGTCACTCCCAGACACGAGACAGCGCCCCTCCTAAAAGCACTCTGCCCAAAGCCACAGTCACCCCACGCTCTCTGAACAGGCTCGCTGCTTCCACCCCTGCCTCCTGCTTCAGTCTGGTGGCAGCCTAGCAGCCAGAGCAACCCTTTGGATGGGAAAAAAGCATGGAGGGCTCTGCTCAGATCCCAGCGGTTCCCACCTTAGAGGCAAAGGAAAAGGCTTTACAGGGGCTTCCCAGGTGCCAGAGGGTCTGTCACTCCCACCCCTCATCACATGGCTTCTTCGCTTTTCTGCAAACAGACAAAACACTTTTTTTTTCCCCAAACAAGGTCTCGTTCTGCTGCCTAGGCTGGAGCGCAGCAGCATGAACATGGCTCAACTGCCTGGGCTCAAGTGATCCTCCACCTGAGCCTCCTGAGCAGCTGGGACCACAGGTGTGTACCACCCCACCTAGCTAACTTTTCTCTATTTTTGGTAGAAATGGTGTCTCACTATGTTGCCCAGGTTGGTCTCTCAAACTCTTGGCCTCAAAGGATCCTCCCACCTCAACGCCCCAAGGTGCTCAGCTCATAGGTGTGAGTCACCGCACCCGGCTCAAAACAAATTGTCATCCTGAGACACCCTGTGGCAACCTCCCACCTCTGCCACTCGCTCTTTCCCTCCCTCGGATCTCTGCTGGAAACACCACCCAATCCATGAGGCCTTCCTGATCACCCCATTTAAGATCACCCCCCAGCAGCGTCCATACCCATCCATCCCAGCTTTTATTCTCCGCAGCCTGCACTGTATCTGACCTTCCACATCTCTTACGTTATTGTTCACAGTCTGACTCCCGCAACTAAAGAGCAGAAGCACATGATTTCGGTCCTTTTTGTTCAAATCTACACCCCCAGCCCCTGAATGCAACCTGAAAAATACTAAGCTTTTAATAGTTTAATTAATGGACTGTGACTATGCCTTTACCCAAATACTGCTGAGCACAAAACTGACAAACTGCCCTCAGCCGAGGAGGAAGGAAAGCAGCGGACACCTTCCACTTCAGAGTTCGACAGATCAGTGCTCCGAAGCTCACTACAAGGCTTCCAATGTCCTTACCTTTGAGCTGAGATCAAACTTGAATTTGCTAACGTCTTCCTCCACTCTCTGAGAGCCCTCCATCCCCTTGGACTTCATAGCATTATAAAGGACGGATGTGATCTTCAACAGTTCTTTCACTGCATACCCATCTGCTTGATAAAGCTTCTTAGTGTTGAGTTTTATATGTGCCTTGGTGGCCTATTTTTAGACAAAAAAAAAAAAAGTTGAAGGCCCTTTCCATGTAATGTCTAAACCAAATCCCACGTAGGTAAGTTGAAAACGCCTCTGCTGACAACTGGGTACAACCTCGTATGAGTAAAGCATTCAAGTGCCTCACATACTGCGAGTGGGTCCATAAACTGGGACAATCTCGATGGAGAGCAACTTGGCAAAAGACGGCAAAACTACAAAGGCAAGTTCACTTTTCACCCAGCCATTCCAATTCTAAGACCTTGCTCTCGCGACACACTCAAACACGAACCAAATGAGATGCAGAGGTTGTTACAGCATTGATTCAAAGAGCAAAGCCCAACGACCTAAAAGCCTACCTATATGAATCACATAACTTACGGCATATCCATGCAAGCAATACCACTCAGGTGTAAACAGAATGAGGAAATTCTATATGGATTTGGAAACTTCTCTAAAACATGCCATTAAGTAAAGCAAGATGCTAAACATCTTGTAGTGTACAGTGAGCACATCGAGCAGTATATAGCACACTAGCATTTGTGCAAAACGAAGGAAAAAGATCTATTTCTATTTGCACACACACAAACTCTGGAAGAGATTTAAAATAGTGGTTATGGTCGAGCGCAATGCCTCACGCCTGTAATCCCAGAACTCTGGGAGGCCGAAGTGGGCGGATCACAAGGTCAGGAGTTCAAGACCATTCTGCCCAACATGGTGAAAGCCCATCTCTACTAAAAATAAAAAAGTTAGCTGGGCGTGGTGGTGCACATCTGTGGTCCCAGCTACTCAGGAGGCTAAGGCAGGAGAATTGCTTGAACCTGGGAGGCAAAGGTTGCAGTGAGCCCAGATCGCACCACTGCACTCCAGCCTGGCAACAGAGCAAGACTCCATCTCAAAAAATACATTAAAAAAATAAAAAACAAAATAAAATAATGGTTATCTGGAATGGAACTTGGCCTAGGGCAGACAGGGTAGAAAGTCATTTTACTCCATTTTGTTTTATGTTTTTAATTTTTTTTTTTTTTTGAGATACGATCTCACTTGGTCACCTGGGCTGGAGTGTAAACCGCATGACTGACTGCAGCCTCAACCTCCCAGACTCAAGCAATCCTCCCATCTCAGCCTCCCAAGTAACTGAGACTACAGGCACATGTCACCAAGCCCATCTAATTTTTTATTTTTATTTTTTGTAGAGATAGGATCTCACTATATTGCCCAGGCTGCTCTCCAACTCCTGGACTCAAGCTGTCCTTCTACCTCAGCCTCCCAAGGTGCTAGGAATACAGGAATGAACAACCATGCTCTGCCCGCTTTAAATCTGTGAGCCATGAAACGTGTTACCTATTCAAAAATAAACAAAATTTTTAACAAATAATGAATTAAAAAACAAACAGAAGGAACTTCGCTGGTGAAACGGCTCCACAGAAACCCAGCAATGGAATAGTTTTAGAAAGCAAACTCAGGCCAGGCACATGGTGGCTCATGCCTGTAATCCCAGCACTTTGGGAGGCCGAGGTGGGTGGGTCACTTAAGGTTGGGAGTTTGAGTCCAGTGTGGCTAACATGGTGAAACCCCTTCTCTACTAAAAATACAAAAATTAGCCAGGTGTGGCAGCACACGCCTGTAATCCCAGCTACTCAGGAAGCTGACACAGGAGAATCGCTTAAACCTGGGAGGTGGAGGTTGCAGTGAGCCCAGGTTGTGCCATTATACTCCAGCCTGGGTGACAGAATGAGACTCCATCTCAAAAAAATAAAAATAAAAATAAACTCAATTACTCAATTTGAACGTAGCCCTAATAGAGTCATTCTTTCTAGTTTACTTAATTTTACAGCTCCACAAAATAACTGTCCACTAACCATGAACTGGGCAATTGCCTTAATGAAGAAAACTCGGTCCTGTTCAGTGTCCACATTAAGCGGGATGTCAGTCTGGGGCTCGTATCTATCAGAGAGGGAAGGGGAGAGAGCACAGGTTAGTCAAGGAGAAAGTCCACTAAACAGAATGTGGGCAACTGAGAGGACAGTGGGTCTGTAACACAACACTCTCCAAGTCCCCAAATATGGTAAGAGTAAGACAGACTTCAAAAGCAAAACCAAATACCAAGGGAACAAATCCCCACCTAAGAACAGCTTTAACAGATTTCAAAAATCCAATGTGGGGCTCAGCTTACAAAATTACATCTCTCTCAGACCTCAACAGGTCATGAAACTCATCAGAACTGCTGCCCTGGCTGGCAGCCCCTGACTCAGAGATCAATGCCAGGGCTGATTAGTCAGCTCTGAGCAGCGGCAAAGTTGCTGAAGCTACTTTCTTCCAGGTATTGATACCAGGGGTCAGCAGACTACGGCCCCCGACCTGTCCAGCCTGCAAGCTAAGAACAGTTTTTACATTTTAAGAAGAAGAGATACAATAGAGATGTCACACAGTCTCTGAGTTTTATGTTTAGCAAAAGGTAAAATATTTATTATCTGGTCCTTAACAGAAAAAGCTGCCAACTCTGAATCATATTCAATTTTTCACACAAAAAGAAATCTACATTATTTTTAACCCAATGTACTGATTAGAGTGTGCAAAAAGGTCCCTGTCACTCTGAAGTGAGGGGCTGAAGAGCAGCCTAGCCCAGCACCCAAATGAGGGATTATCACTCTCCTTTTACCACTTCCTGGTATATTTCCATCTCCCACAGCGTTCTTTAAACTCCAACGATTTTTTTTTTTTTTTGAGACACAATCTCAATCTGTCCGAGCAGGCATGCAGTAGCATGATCAGTGGCGCTGCGGCCTCAAACCCCTGGGATCAAGTGATCCTCCTGCCTCAGCCTCCTGAGTAGCTGGAACTATGAGTGTGTACCACCCATGCTTGACTAACTGTTCTTTTGTGTGTGGAGGCAGGGTCTTGCTATGTTGAACAGGCTGGCCTCAAACCCCTGGGATTACAAAGTGCTGGGATGATAGGAATGAGCCACTGTGCCCAGCCACAGCCGCTTTTTAACAGGATACAAGTGGGTCTGTCAAACTCCAACTTCATCAAACTCTTCCTTGGGCAGCACCACAACCGTGTCCTGTTTTCTAGATGGCTAATAAATAAAACCCAGCATTCACTCTTAGACTTCGGTAAAGTGCAGCTGGGGCCGGGCGCGGTGGCTCACGCCTGTAATCCCAGCACTTTGGGAGGCCGAGGCGGGTGGATCACGAGGTCAAGAGATCGAAAACATCCTGGTCAACACGGTGAAACCCCATCTCAACTAAAAATACAAAAAATTAGCTGGGCACGGTAGTACGTGCCTGTAGTCCCAGCTACTCGGGAGGCCGAGGCAGCAGAATTGCCTGAACCCAGGAGGCGGAGGTTGCGGAGAGCCGAGATCGCGCCATTGCACTCCAGCCTGGGCAACGAGAGAGAAGCTCCGTCTCAAAAAAAATAAATAACTAAAATAAAATAATGTGCAGTTGTAACCTTTTCACAAGCCAGAGAAGCACTTCAGACACAAGTTCAAAATTGGGTTTTCGGAAGTTTTCCATAGAGACATGGCGAGGGTATCCCAGGGCTCTCATCATCTCGGTGAAATCTGTCCAAGGTAAAAGACAGTTCAGTCAGTTCCCCGTGCCCCGGCAACTCCTCGTTAACTTAGATGCTGTCTTTGCTTTTCCTTGCGATTTCCAACCTGTTGACAGCTGTAGGGTCTATCTGCCAACTTTCTACCAGAGAAACCAAAACAAAGACAAAATTTAAAATACCAAAAATGCTACCTCAAAAACATGTACTTACGTTCAATGGGAGAAGTAGATGGCTATATACGAAAATGGAACTGAGGGGTTAGCTGTGAATCTGATTTCTCTTTACCGCTAAAAATAAGAAACACCTGTCTTTATGAAATGTTATGAAGAAAAAGTATTTTAAAATATCAACATCGGTTTGACTCTAATTCAGCTAATTAAAAATTATTTTAGGCCGGGCGCGGTGGCTCACGCCTGTAATCCCAGCCCCTTGGGAGGCCGAGGCGGGTGGAACACAAGGTCAAGAGATTGAGACCATCCTGATCAACATGGTGAAACCCCGTCTCTACTAAAAATACAAAAATTAGTTGGACATGGTGGCACATGCCTGTAGTCCCGGCTATTCCGGAGGCTGAGGCAGGAGAATTGCTTGAACCCAGGAGGCGGAGGTTGTGGTGAGCCGAGATTGTGCCACTGCATTCCAGCAACTGGGTAAAAACAGCGAAACTCTGTCTCAAAGAAAAAATTTAATAGTGGTTATTTCTGTGGGGAATGGGCAGGATGACATTCACGTTTCTGAGTTGTCTTTGTTTTTAATTTTAGTGAGCATATGGGACCCAAATAACACAAGTTTTAAAGATCAGTTGCTGGCCAAGTACAGTGGCTCATAATTCCAGCACTTTGGGAGACCAAGGTGGGTAGATCACAAGGTCAGGAGATCAAGACCAGCCTGACCAATATGATGAAACCCCATCTCTACTAAAAATACAAAAATTAGCTAGGTGTGGTGGCGGGTGCCTGTAATCCAGCTACTTAGGAAGCTGAGGCAGGAGAATCGCTTGAACCCAGGAGGCAGAGGTTGCAGTGAGCCGAGATCACGCCACTGCACTCCAGCCTGGGCAACAGATCAAGACACTGACTCAAAAAATAAAAATAATAAGAAAAGATCAGTCGTGTTGTATCTAAACAAATTTTTTTTTTTCTTTGAGACAGAGTTTTGCTCTTGCTGCCCCGGCTGGAATGCAATGGCGCCATCTCTGCTCACCACAACCTCTGCTTCCCGGGTGGAAGCGACTGTCCTGCCTTGGCTTCATGTGCAGCTGGGATTACATGTATGTGCCACCATGCCTGGGTAATTTTGTATTTGTAGTAGGGACAGGGTTTCTCCACATTGGTCAGGCTGTTCTCAAACTCCTGACCTCAGGTGATTTGCCTGTCTCAGCCTCCCAAAGTGCACCCAAACGAGAAATCTTATAGTGGTTGAACTACAGAAACATATTTAGATTATAAAACAGATTACGGAATAGTAACACAGCATGGCATGGTGGCTCACGCCTATAATCCCAGCACTTTGGAAGACTGAGGCGGGTGGATCACCTGAGGTCAGGAGTTTGAGACCCACCCTGGCCAACACGTGAAACCCTGTCTCTACTAAAAATACAAAAGTTAGGTGGGTATGGTGGTGGGTGCCTACAATTCTAGTTACTGGGGAGGCTGAGGCAGGAAAATTGCTTGCATCTGGGAAGTGGAGGCTGCAGTGAGCCAAGATCACACCATTGCACTCCAGCCTGGGCAACAGAGCAAGACTCTGTCTCAAAAAAAAAAGAAAAGAAAGAAAGAAGGCAGCAGACTTTCCTTCACACGGTCAGGCGTTGCCTAAATACTTCTGACCACTGTGTACTAGTCAAGTCCTCTTCGTGCAGTGGTGTTATTGTCAAATGGAGACGGATTTGAGTAAGATCCTTACCACACACTGCACAACTTCATAGCATTCATTCAAGGTCAAAATATTCTGAAATCGGCCGGGCACGGTGGCTCACGCCTGCAATCCCAGCACTTTGGGAGGCCAAGGCAGGCAGATCACAAGGTCAAGAGATCAAGATCATCCTGGCCGACATGGTAAAACCCCATCTCCACTAAAAATACAAAAATTAGCTGGGCGTGGTGGCACACGCCTGTAGTCCCAGCTACTCAGGAGGCTGAGGCAGGAGAATCGCTTGAACCGAAAACAGATTGTAGTGATCCAAGATCATACCACTGGACTCCAGCCCAGCAACAGAGTGAGACTTGCCTCAAAAAAAAGAAAAATCTGAAATCTCCCTGTATCTCTTCCCTACAGAACTCCATTCTATGTTCCCTGGAAGGGTGCTGACCTCTCTGAAAAAACTATGGGGGAGGAGACACTCACCCTGTATGATGTGTGGCTACCAAAGACCTTCAAATCACAGAGGACAGGATTCACACTCCAGGGCTCAGTAGCTACGTGGATAAAAGGTAATGTGTCTTCCTGGATATTTTTACATTGTAGAAAAATAACAATTCATAACCAAAAGGAATAATCTCTTTTTTTTAATTTTAGAATTGCCAATCTTCTCTGTAGCGTTCCAATTTTAGCATATGTGCTTCCGAAGCAAGCACAGGAGTAATCTCTAATGCTGAAATTTCAGGCACCAGTAATTTGGTGAGAAAATTGGCTCTTTGGGGCCGGGCGCGGTGGCTCACGCCTGTAATCCCAGCACTTTGGGAGGCCGAGGCGGGTGGATCACGAGGTCAAGAGATCGAGACCATCCTGGTCAACATGATGAAATCCCATCTCTACTAAAAATACAAAAAATTAGCTGGATATGGTGGCGCGTGCCTGTAATCCCAGCTACTCAGGAGGCTGAGGCAGGAGAATTGCCTGAACCCAGGAGGAGGAGGTTGCGGTGAGCCGAGATTGTGCCATTGCACTCCAGCCTGGGTGACAAGGGCGAAATTCTGTCTCACAAAAAAAAAAAAAAAAAAGAAAATTGGCTCTTTGGGGCCAGGCGCAGTGGCTCACGCCTGTAATCCAAGCACTTTGGAGGCCAAGGTGGGCGGATCACCTGAGGTCGGGACTTCAAGACCAGCCTGACCAACATGGTGAAACCCCATTTAAAAAAACAAAAGAAAGAAAGGAAAAAGAGAAAACTGGCTCTTTAAGAGACTCCTCAGACCACACCAAATTGGCAATCATCTGCTATTCCCTTTTTTTTTTTTTTGAGACAGAGTCTCACTCCGTGGCCCAGGCTGGAATGTAGTGGTGCAATCTTGGCTCACAGCAACTTCTGCACGCCCCCTGTCTCCCGCCATTTCAAGCAATTCTCCTTAGCTTCCCAAGTAGTTGGGACTACAGACATGGGTCACCACACCCAACTAATTTTTTGAATTTTAGGCAGACACAGGGTTTCACCATGTTGGCCAGGCTGGTCTCGAACTCCTGACAACTGATTTGCCTGCCTCAGTCCCCCAAAGTGCTGGGATTACAAGTGTAAGCCACTGTGCCCAGCCGTAGCCAGCACTCTTAGCCTCATTCTTACACTTCCCTATCCTCTTAGCAAAGGAATTCGAGCTCCCTTTTCCTCACCAGCCCTGCAAATAGATGCAGAGTTCAGGATTTCTGGAGCTCAGGCAAACTGAATTCAAACTCCAGTACCACCTCCTACCGCCAGTGTCACCTGCCCAAGTTACTTGTTCTCTCTGTGCCCATTTTCTCATTTTGCAGATAATTAAAATGAAATAATTCACATAACACAGAGTGGTCCCTGGCAGATCGTTAAAACTCAAAAAATGTTAGCCTCAACAAACATCGTGCAGCCCCCTCTCCTCGGTTTCGTTGCTGTTCATTCTTTTTTTTTGAGACAGTCTCACTCTGTCGCCAGGCTGGACCAAAGAAAAGAAAAGAAAGCAGCAGACTTTCCTTCACAGAGTCAGGCACTGCCTAAATACTTCTGACCACTACGTACTAGTCAAGTTTTGTTCTATTATATTTGTAATACAGATACAGGTTTTCTCCATGTTGGTCAGGCTAGGCTAGTCTCGAACTCCTGACCCCAGGTGATCCACCCGCCCCAGCCTTCCAAAGTGCTGGGATTACAGGTGTGAGCCACCATGCCCAGCCGCTGTTCGTTTTCTTTCTTTCGAGATGGAGTTTCGCTCTTGTTGCCCAGGCTGGAGTGCAATGGCGAGATCTTGGCTCAATGCAACCTTCGCCTCTTGGGTTCAAGCGATTCTCCTGCCTCTGCCTCCCGAGTAGTTGGGATTACAGGCATGCGCCACCACGCCCAGCTAATTTTGTATTTTTAGTAGAGATGGCAGGGTTTCTCCATGTTGCTCAGGCTGGTCTCGAACGCCCGACCTCAGGTGATTCGCCCGCCACGACCTCCCAAAGTGCTGGGATTATAAGCGTGAGCCACCGCGCCCGGCCTGCTGTTCATTTTTCTAAGCGCTAAGCTAACCCAACTCAAAAAACAGTCTCTCAAGTCTCCATGCATTTTCCAACCCGGTAGCGAACAGACGCCTGCAGCTATACAAATAGAAATGAGTGACAATTAAAAATTCAGTTCTTCATCTAAAGTGGCCACATTTCAAGCGTTCTGAGCCATACGAGGACAGTGGCATATAAACTTTCCCTCCTCGCTAGAAATGGTCTAAGAACGGCCTGGGGCGCTCTGCGGGGTGGTAGCCGCGGATCAGGGGCGGTCCCGGAGGAGCAGAGGCCCGAAAGGGGGCTCCGGCAGTGCGAGCCTCAGAGGTCACCAAGACAGGGGACCTGGCGAGCAGGAACGCTAAATATTTGGAAGACCCTCAGGTCACAGGGGCGCGGAGCTTACTGCGGAGGTCGCGGAAAGACATGACGCTCAGGTCCCCAGAAGCCACGGGTCGCAGCTACTCGGTCCTCAGCGCTTACACGCCCAGCGCTCGCCGGTCTCTACGGCAACCAGTGGAGCCTTGGACGGCGCGCGGTCAGGGCCAAACAAAACGGGAAGCGAATACGCCGCAGCTTGCGCAGGCGCACAGGCAGAGCAGGCCGGCAGACGCCGCTCCCGAGACGCCGAGGGCAGTGGGCGTGGCCACCTCGGCGAGTATGGGGGTTACTAACTCCGCGGCTTTTAGGCCTCTCTTTAAATACAGGCTTTGCAGACGTTTCGCGCTGGCTGACAGGCTCCGAGCACCTATGTGCTTGACGCTGCGCTAGGCGCTTTCCATATGCTTATTTCCCCCTCGTTTGTATAAAGAATGCACTATACTTGGCCGGGCGCGGTGGCTCACCCCTGTAATCCCAGCACTTCGGGAGGCCGAGGCGGGCGGATCACTTGAGGTCAGGAGTTCGAGACTACCCTGGCCAACACGGCGAAACCCCGTCTCTACCAAAAAATACAAAAATTAGCCAAGCGTGGTGGTGCACACCTGTAATCTCAGCTACTCGGGAAATTGAGGCAAGAAAATCACTTGAAACTGGCAGGCGGAGGTTGCAGTGAGCGGAGAACGCGCCACTGCCCTTCAGGGCGACAGAGCGAGACTCCGTCTAAAAAAAAAAAACGCACTATACTGAAGAAGCCGGCTTTCCCTCGTCCTAGGCAAAGCCCGGTCCCCCTCGGGCTCCGGTAGCTGGGCGGAGGTCGGGCTCACAGCTGGCGCCCAGAGGAAAGCAGGGGCGGGGTCCTGCGCATGCGCAGGCGGCTCGGGCTTCGCGACAGGCCGCAAAGCCGCTCCGAGCCGCGCGCATCCCGCGTATCCGGCAACCCCTCCCACACTGCGGGGGGTCGTGAGGGCGCTGCAGGCAGGAACAGCCTTCGCTCGTGAACCGGGGAGATTTTCCCCGCCAGGCGCGGCACAGCAGCCGGGTTTTCTTAGGTAGCTTGAGCAGGAACAAGCAAACAGCGTAGTGCACAAAGCGATTGGTTGGCATCAGGTTATTTCAGATGCGTTTCCTCATGTGGGTTAAAGCAGAGGGGGCTTCCTTATGCCAGCCTAGGTAAACAGGGCCTCTTTTTGGGTGGCAGTGAATCTTCTGTTTTTCGGCAGACTGGCCTGTCTCAGGGTTCGCTTTGATTACGTGGCACCTCGCACTGGCGATTCCATTCTGGTTGGTCTGGTCTGTTGGTGCCTCGCTCTGAAACAATGGCCTCCCATAAATGTCACTTCACTTTTAAGAAACGCTAACTAGAAAAACACTATTGGAGTGGGAGGGAGGTAAATAAATAAATAAATAAAATTTTAAAAACACTATTAAGAAAAAAGGTATGCCACAGTCTAGAAGAAAATATTCACAAAACGCCTATCTGATAAAGAGACCTGCATCCAGAATATATAAAGAACTCTAAACACTCAATAATGAGAAACAATCTAATTAGAGAATGGAGAAAACGTTTTATTTTATTTATTATTATTATTATTATTATTTTTTTTTTTTTTTGAGTCGGAGTTTCGCTCTTGTTACCCAGGCTGGAGTGCAATGGCGCGATCTCGGCTCACCGCAACCTCCGCCTCCTGGGTTCAGGCAATTCTCCTGCCTCAGCCTCCTGGGTAGCTGGGATTACAGGCATGCCGCCATGCCCAGCTAATTTTTTGTATTTTTAGTAGAGATGGGGTTTCACCATGTTGACCAGGATGGTCTCCGATCTCTTGAACTCGTGATCCACCCGCCTCGGCCTCCCAAAGTGCTGGGATTACAGGCGTGAGCCACCGCGCCTGGCGGAGAAGATGTTTTAAACGATAATTCACAAAAGTAGATATATGGGCCGAGGATGGTGGTTCACGCCTGTAATCCCAGCTCTTTGGGAGGCCGAGGCCAGCGGATCACGAGCTCAGGAGTTGAGCTCGTTCACCAACGAGGTGAAATGTCCTCTACTAAAAATACAAAAATTAGCTGTGGGTGGCGGTGAGTGCCTGTCATCCCAGCAACTCTGGAAGCTGAGGCAGGAGAATCACTTGAACTCCTGCCTCAGCGGAGGTTGTGGTGAGCCGAGATTGCATCATTGCACGCCAGCCTGGTGTCTCAAAGAAAAAAAGAAAAATTAGGTCTCCTGTGACTAGAAAAAAACTGAATGTTTAACTTTTTTTTTGTCAGCATCCAACGTTTTTTTAAATAAGAAGGTAGGATCCAGAGTTTGTTTTTGTAGCCTTGGCTGGCCCATTGGCCTCTGGCACGCTGAAACTTCTGGCCCTTGGAGTAGACGTTTGATTTGTTGTGGCTGTGCAGGGTTCCTGGGGCCTTGCTGAAATGCCGGCACACCTGTCAGCCCTTTCCAGGACTGGAGGGCAGGACGGTGCCACAATCCTTGGGGGAGTCCAGGGCCAGCTGGTAGAAAGTGAGGATCTTGCCCTCCCCCCCCCCGGCCCCGAGGATGCAGCTGTGGGCCCAGCTGGGCACACACGGCACACACACCTTCAGTTTGGGCACCTCCTGAACCTACATGTCATCCATTATGGTCTCCACAACTACAGCTGTTTTGTTTTCCCTGCCAGGAAACTTCATCTTCTGGATCATCTGGGAAAGGACAGCGGTGGCCATTTGGTGCGACTCACAGCCTGGTTGCATGTGGAGTTGGTTCTTCTGGCCAAAAACCTGTACAGCTTAAGCAACAGCCTCAGGTAGACATCCTGGCTCTTGGGCTCCTTGCGCCGAACCTTTCAGTCCTTGTGGCGGATGTCAACTCCCACGATGGCGCCTCCTGCTCCGCCAGGTCTGGAAAGATGAATGTTTATTAACTTAATGGTTTTCCAGAGTTGCACCATTTTACATTCCCACCAGCAGCACACGGGAGTTCCAGTTCCTCCACATCCTTACCCTTGATGTGGTGCATACAATAGGTGGTAACTGATTAACCGGAAAATGAGCAGTTAGAAAAGTTAAGTGACTCATTCAGTCACCCAGAACAACCTTTTCAGCATTTTTTTTTGAGACGGAGTCTAGCTCTATCACCCATGCTGGAGTGCAGTGGTGCAATCTCAGCTCACTGCAACTTCCAGCTTCCAGGTTTAAGCAATTCTCCTGCCTCAGCCTCCTGAGTAGCTGGGATTACAAGCCCCCGCCACCATACCCGGCTAATTTTTGTATTTTTCTTGGGAACAGGTTTTCACTATGTTGGCCCAGCTGGTCTCGAACTCATCTCCTCAAGTGATCTGCCTGCCTCATCCTCCCAAAGTGCTGAGATTACAAGCATAAGCCACTGCAGCAGCCCCTTTTCAGCATTTTCAAAGCACTGACCTAGGTCTCCCCAGGTCTGTACTCCTGAACCCTCATTTCCCACCCCAGATGAGGAAGCTGGCCCCAAGAGATCACCTCAAAGAAGGACTCTCCTGTTGGCCAGAGCTGAGTGTGTTTTATGTGGGCTGACCCCAGCCAGAGGGACCAGGGACTTCCCCTGGGGTCCTGGCCTCTTTCCATGCCTTCCTCCCACACTGCCCTCGCCCAAACTAGGAGTCCAGGGAGGCTGGGAGTTTTCCCTGTGATGTCATAAGAACCAGTTGCCGGGGGAGACCTGCAGATATACCCTGTAGGCAGGGGAGAGCAGGGCCCTGCTGCACCGAAGTCCTGGCCACTCCTCCCCACCACACACTGGCCCTTCATGGAAGCCTTGGTCTGTGCATTTTCTGAGCTGCGCATAAGAGAAGGTGCCGGGTGCAGGGAGGAGTGCCAGGAGGAGAGATGCATTTCTGTTCCTATCTGGGCCCAAAGCCACGGGGGTGGCCTCAGGGACATGTATGCTTGGGAGATGGGAATGGCCACTGGGCCAGGCCATCAGCCCTGGGCTGGTCACTTCCTCTCAACCCCACTGTGCAATTTCTCTGCAGGGACCAGCATATCTTTCTAGGGTAGTGTAGAGAACAGGGTGAGTGTGTTTTAAGCACTCTCAGTCCCAAAGGCTCCAGGCTTCCCAGCCCTTCCTATTGGTTGGGAGTGGGAGGAGGAGTCATGTCTTGGGCGTGGGTAGGGGGAGGCAGTGGACTGAGCCTAACAGCCAGGTAAGCTGAGGCCAGGCTGGTTGGGGATGCAGCCCATCATGTGAGCTGCTCTCAAGAGGCACGTGACCACACTCTCCCCTCATGGCTACTGTGGGGGGCTGGCCACCACCCTCCCGCTCTCTCCTCTGCAGATGCAGTGAGCCAGGCTCAAGGAAGCCCTGGCCACCCTGACATACCACCCAACCTCTACGAAGGGGGCCTGGGGTCCCAGCAGCCGCAGTGCCCCAGTGCCCAGAGAAGCAAGCCCAAGAACTTCCGGCTGCGCCACCTCCAGGGCCTGGCTCTTTACCTGCAGGGCCACCTGTCGCCCGCCAGCCAGTGTGAGAGCCACTGGCTGGGCCGGCTTATGGCTGGGGGCTGCCTGCCACAGCCCGAAGGCACAGCCTGGACCCTGGACCTGCCACAGGGGACTCTGGGCCCAGGTAACAGCTACTGCTCAGCCCTTCTGGAAGCAGAATTGCCCGGGGACAGTCTGGGAAACACTGGTGAGCTCTGTCAAGGCAGGACTGGGCGTGGGGGAAGACCCCAGGGAATGGTTGGGCTGGGGACTCAGACGGGCCCCTTTCCACCAACAACTGTCCACAGTGGTGCCATGCCCCAGCAGGCTAAGATCTTGGTTAATCTGTCCCCATCCCTGCATCACCCCACAGCTGGGCGGGGCCTGGAGAATCCACAAGGGACAAGGGGTGCAAGAAAAAGGGAGGCTCTCTTGGGGGAGGGCTGGGTGACTGTCGCAGCTCCGCACTTGGTGAGAGCCTTGGAAGCTATCTCCCTTGCTGGGCTTCAGTTTTCCCACTTGTAAAATGAGGGGTCAGGTTAGATGAGGGTCCCTCCAGCTTGAACCATTCTCTTCCCTCTACCTCCTCCCTCCCCTGGGGGTTCTGTTAAGGAGGAAGCATTGCCACCTTCCCTTTTGTTTTCAAGGATATTGGGTTCTGGGGACCCCACAGTGGGCTGCAGCCTCCCTGCCAGCCTCCCCTTGGGTCCCTCAAGTGGCTCCTTTCCCTCCTCTTTCCTCAGCTTCCAGTTCCAGCATGGACCCAGCCAAGGGTGCCCTCCCCCAGCCTGGTCCTTCTGAGGGCTTGGGGCTCAGGCCCAAGAGATCCTGGGGGGCCTCAGAAGAGGCCATGTATCCCTTGTGCAAGAGAACCCGTTCTGGGGCCCTGGAGAGGCCATAGGAATCCCAAGTACCAGGACTGGGGACAGGAAGGCAAGGACAGCTGAGGAGGCACCCCCAGCAGGAGGGGCTAGCCCCTGGCAGTGGCTCTGCCACACAAGGTGGCCCAGGCAGCGGCCTAGCACCCAGACCTGGGCCTTGGCAAAATGTGAGAGAGAAAGGAAGGAGGAGGTCCTGAGGGAGTGCGAGAAGCAGTAGAAGCTCAGCCGTTCCCTTGCAGCCCGCTCGGACTCCATTCAGCACTTGTACCTTGGAGGCCATACTGAGTGGAGAATCAGGCCCCCACGAGAGGCCTGGGAGCCCACAGCTCTGATCTCAATAAAAGCCAAGGCCTGCACATTCTTGTCTATCTGCCTATCTGTCATAAGGCCAGTTTGGTCAGAAAAACAGTACTGTGTCTCTCCAGAGATGGGTCTGTAGTGCGCCCACCCTTAGCTGCTGGGGGCATGAGAGGCATGAGCTGGGGTAAGGGCCTGTGTGAGGCACCAAGGAAGTAGTCTGGGAGGGCTTCCTGGATAAGGCACTGCTGAGCTTGGCTCTATAGGGTGGGTAGGGGCTCAACAGCCTACATTGTGAGCCACTGTGCCTGGCTAATTTTCTATTGTTTTAAGAGTTGGGGGGGGTCCTGCTGTGTTGCCCAGGAGGGTCTTGAACTCCTGAACTCAAGTGATCCTTCCACCTCGGGAGGAGCCTAAATACAGGTTGTGGAGTTGTGGATGGAAGACACAGTGGATGAAGGAAAGCAGGGCTGGGTCAGGGAGAGCACCAGGGAGGAGAGCGGCCGAGGCAGGGATGTGGACCTGGACCCCACACTCTCCCCACCAGGTGATGCCACTGTTCCACCAGACCCCAGCTCCCAGGTCCCTCTGAGCAGGATGAGCACAGCCCTTCTCCTCCCGGCCAGACCAGATTCTGGGCACCCAGGTGTGGGCTTCCCCTGTGCTGGGGTGTCTCCACTCAGCTCTGTTGATGTTTGGGACTGGATCATTCTTTGGGACAGAGGCTGTCCTGTGAATGTAGGATGTTAAGCAGCACCTCTGGCCACCACCCACTTGGTCCAGTAGCACCCTCTTCCAAGCTGTGACACCAAGTGTCTCCAGACATTGCCTGGTATCCCTGGGAGCAGTTACTGGGGGTGAGAAGCCTGATACAGTTAGGCTCTGTGTCCCCACCCAACTCTCATCTCGAATTAATCCCCACGTGTTGAGAAAGGGACCTTATGGGAGGTAACTGGATCATGGGGACAGTTTCTGCCTTGCTGCCCTCGCGATAGTGAGTTCTCAGAAGATCTGATGGTTTAAGTGTTTGGCGGCCGGGTGTGGTGGCTCACGCCTGTAATCCCAGCACTTTGGGAGGCCGAGGTGGGTAGAACACTTGAGACCAGGAATTCAAGACCAGCCTGGCCAATGTGGCAAACCCCTGTCTCTACTAAAAATATAAAAATTAGCCAGGTGTGGTGATGCATCTCTGTAATCCTAGCTACTTGGGAGTCTGAGGCATGAGAATCAGTTCAACCGAGGAGATGGAGGTTGCAGTGAGAAGAGATGGTACCACTGCACTCCAGCCTGGGCAACAGAGTGAGACCCCGTTTCAAAAAAAAAAAAAAAGTGTGTGGCGGTTCCACCCCACCTCCCCACCACCGCCTCTCTCTGTCCTGCCGCCTTGTGAAGAAGGTGCCTGCTTCCCCTTTGCCTTCTGCCATGATTGTAAGTTTCCTGAGGCCTCCCAGCCATGTGGAAGTGTGAGTCAATTAAACCTCTTTTGTTTATAAATTACCCAGTCTCAGGCAGCAGTGTCAAAACGGACTAATACGCTTGCTCTATACGGCCAGGCCTCCATCCTGTGGGGAGACGACAAGAGCACCTGGGCTTGCCTCAGTGACCTTTCCATCTGGCGACTCCAGCCTGTGCCACCCCTACCTTGGGCTCCTGCCAGGTGACATGGGACATGCCCAGGCCAGCTGGGCTCCTTCCCTTCCCCTGTACCCTGGGTCCACCCTGGACAGTTCTTGTGTCCCTGGGACAGCAGATCCTGGAGAGTTCAGTCCTTGGGCAGTTTTTGGGTTGTTCTGAGCATGTGGGCATGGCCCGGGGTGGTGGACACTCGAAGCTGTAGCATTCCCCAGGACGGGGAGCTCTGAGATGCTGCTCCCAAGAGCAACTGTGACGGGGCAGGTGTGGGAGGCACGAGGCTGGCCTGAGGTCCACTGATGAGTCACACGGGGTGGCAGAGGGGCAGCTCCTTCTCTCTCTCCCACAACACTCATTCCCCAGAGACGCAGAGGACAGGTGGACTCAAGGGACCCCTAAAGATTGACATTGGGGGGCTGCTGAGGGAACACCGAGGGACACCTGCGCCAGCCACCAGCTGCAGACGATGGGCAGAACTGAGCTTGTCTAGAAGGTCAATACAAGGTCCTTGGAGACTGTTAGGGGCTGAATCCACTTTTTTTTTCTTTTTTCTTTTGAAGACAGGGTCTCACTGTCTCCCAGGCTGGACTGCAGTGGCATGATCTTAGCTCACTGCACTTTTGAACTCCTCAAGTGGGGTTCAAGTGATCCTCCTGCCTCAGCCTCCTGAGTAGCTGGGACCAAGGCACATGACACCCCGTCTAGTAAATTAAAAAATTTTTTTGGTAAAGGGTCTTGCTATGTTGTCCAGGCTGGTCTCCAACTCCCAGCCTCAAGTGATGCTCCCACCTCCGCCCCTCAAAGTGCTGGCATTATAGGCACGAGTCACCACGGTGGGCTCCTCAGCCAAGTGACCCTCCCATCTCAGCCTACTGAGTAGCTGGGACTACAGGTATGGGCCACCACACCCAGCTAATTTTCTATTTTTTTAAGAGCTGAGGGTCTCACTATGTTGCTCAGGCTGATCTTGAACTCCTGAGCTTAAGAGATCCTCCCACCTTGGGCTCCCAAAATACTGGGATTTTAGGTGTGAGCCACCACATCTGGACGTCACTTCTGAACAAAGAATGGAGGCTCAGAGAAGAGCACAGCTTGCCTCAGGCTCCAGATTTTCGGCGGGCCCAGGCTGTGGTCAGTGGCCCCTCTGCTACCCCAGAGCCATGTGTCTTGGTGTTCTGGCCCCTTTGTAGCCCCCTGCCCTTGAACTGGGACAGGTTCTGGATCTTGCTTTACCAGTAGAATGGGGTGGAAGTGACGGGGTGTCACTTTGGGCAGTAAGGAAGCCTGGCAGCTTCCCAGGAGGCCAGTGGCCCCGTAAGGAGTCTACCCGGGGACTGTCGTATGGTACAAAACCAACCTAGCCTGAGGAGGCCATGGAGGGCAGGAGCCAAGCCCATGGCTGCAGCCGAGCTCACTGTGGGCAGCCCTGTGGGTAGGGCCGTCTTGGATACAGGTCCTTCAGCCCCGCCAGCCTCCCTAGCTAACACCACATGGGGTCCCTGCTGCAGAAATGGAAGCAAACAGAATGGCCCCTGCTTAGGCTGTGAAGCTTTAAGGTGGTCTGCTACTCAGCCACTGACAACTGTAGCCAGGATCTTATCCGTGAGAAAGACGTCTGCTGCAGCCACATGCTAGCCCCAAAGAAACTGGCTCTAAATTGGCCTCTAGACAGTTCCTCCCCAAACCTCCCAAAGCCTTCTTGAGAAGCACTCCAACAGGCTAGAGGCAGAAAAGCCAGCCATGGCGTGCTGGGGTGGGAGCTGATGTGGAGAAAGTAGCCCTCGGCCTGAGCAAGCGGACGCTCGTGAAAATACGTACTATCCCTGGGCATGTCCCTCCCGCTGTGAGTACGTGAACACCAGTGGGCCGGAATGGACTGGCTAGGAGTCTGTCTCAGTCCGCGAAGTAGGAAGGACCCCCCCACCCTGTAGGAGATCCTTGGGTGGTATGTGAAGGGACTGGGGAGACCTGGCCACATTGGCAGGGAGCCCCAAGACTGCCTTGGGCTCCATCCCTGAGCAGGCCTGGAGCAGAGCTGGCTCCTAGGGCTGGCCTCTGTGCTAAGTCTGGTGCATCCTGTGTGACCATCTTACTTCTCCTTGGGTCCCACATTCCCTTTGTGCCCCCAGTGGAGCAGGAGCCTGTGTCCCAGCTCTGCAGTCCCCTGGGGCCACGGTGAGAGGCCTAGAGCAGCGGTGGTGTGGCTGGCCTCACTCAGCAGGGCCTGAGGATCTGGAGCCCCACATGGGCAAGTTACTACTTGGTCACATGATCCACCAAGGGCCTCCAAGAGCCACCCTCTTAACCCCAAGCTGACTCATCAGCAAAGGTGAAAGGGTCCTCGCCGGAGTAACCCAGGCGCACCTCCCCAGCAGATGCTCCCTGGAGTAAGCTCGGGAGGTTCATCTGGATCTACTCACCCCGTGGCTTTGGACACATGTCCACCGTGCCCAGCTGCCTGGCCTCCCAGGGCACCAGCGTCCACCCCTACTCCATCTTGCAGGTGAGCTGCATGTCTCCCAGCCAATGGCTGAGGTCAAAGACACGGGACACGGCGTAACAGAGTGGCCATGCAGGCTTCAGAGGAATGCAGGCCCGGGCTGGACGCCTGGACCCACCAGTCACAAACTGCGTGGCTGTCAGCCCCCGAGCCAGTGGTCCTCATCTATAACAGGGATAACAGCATCCCTTGAGGGTGGCCAGAAGTTTCCGTGAGAGGCTGACAGAAGCACCAGGTCTGTGCAGAGCGGGCACCCACCTCAGGCTCCACAGCAGGGTGAACTGAATCCCCCCTGGAAGCTGCCTCAAGCCCTAGAGGCAGGGAGAGGTCCAGACAGGGCAGCTGCTGGGGACGTCCCAGTAAAAAGAAAGTAGAAGGGCCCAGCTGTAGTGCCTCTCAACTCTGCAGAAGCTCTTCCCTAGGTTCACATTCTTTTTTTTTTTTTTGAGGAGTCTCATTCCGTTACCAGGCTGGAGTGCAGTGGCGCCATCTCGGCTCACTGCAACCTCCACCTCCCAGGTTCAAGCGATTCTCCTGCCTCAGCCTCCCAAGTAACTGGGATTATAGGCACAGGCCACCATGCCTGGCTAATTTTGAATTTTTAGTAGAGATGGGGTTTCACCATGTTGGCCAAGATGGTCTCAATCTCCTGATCCTGTGATCCACCTGCCTCAGCCTCCCAAAGTGCTGGGATTACAGGTGTGAGCCACCTCGCCCAACCAAAAGTTTGCATTCTTTGGCAGGGTTCCTCACACAAAACCACTGGCCCCTTTATCTGGAAGCCATCCTGGGGCCTTGCCAAAGACAAGCAGCTCCAGGCTGCCCTCAGCCACAGGGAGAGGCCCGAGGAGCAGCTGGGTGGGTACAGGAAGCAGGATGTGACCAATTCCGGTGAGTCTATTTATTTGCTCATAATGAGACAGAACG